GGGGGGTAGGAGGTGTAAAAGGAAAAAAATGGGGGGGGGGGGGAGAAGAGAGGAAGAAAAGAGGGAGAGAGAGAGAGACAGAAGAAGTGAGAAGTAGAGAGAAAGAAGAGAAAGGGGAAGAGAGAGAAATTCAGGCAGGTTTGGAAGAAAGGAAAGAAGAGAGAGAGAGAGAGAGAGAGAGAGAGAATTTAGCTCCTGGTTCATTGTGGAGGCATGTATTATAATCAGTGATGTAGATGTAAAAGTATTTCAAGGGAGTTAGTGGGGGTCATATGTTTGGGTGGGGGTTCTCCAAAATATAAATTGCCAGCTGCAGGGGGAGGGGGTTTTCCTCATGATAAAATTTGCAATCATGTAGTTCAGACTAAATTGTGTTTTGGACCGGAACCCATATTATATGAGTGAAATTAATTAATTATATGAGTGGTCCAGTTTAGAGATGTGGTGGGGGGGGCGGTATATTTTGAAAAGGGAGGGGCATCCATTATGCACCCCATGACTTTTCTAGGCCTGGTGATAAAGAGAATCCTGATCACAGAGAATTTCTTGGGTAAACACTGGAACGCAACAACAGGCAGACGGAGAAGGGCGACGATCTCACTGCACACTGGACTGCTGGGAAAGAGAACCATGCCACTAAGTGTCCAATTAGTATGAAAACATAAAAACATGAAAACAGCCAGAACATCACCATGGTAACAGTTCATGGTCCAGCTGGAGAAAAATGAGCACAGAGCAGAACATTCCTCATATTTTCAGTCCCGAAGGGAGGCCCGGACTGCCATACACCGACCATAATAACACTGTAAAGACAAGGCCATGTCCGGGGGTGTCCCTAACGCAGACAGTGCAGCCCTAACCGTGAAAGAGAACCAGAGGGGGTGCTGTGCTGGGCTGGGCCAGTGAAACTTGGGTCTTTACAGTTGTATGTATTTTTAATCATATATTCTTGGCAATATGTTGTTACACTTCTAGGCGTAGATTTAGGATGGGACTTGTGGACAACCCCCCCCCCTCCAAAGCTGAGATGTGGGGGTATCTCCTTCAATAACATCATATATAAAATAATGCTTGGTTTATTAAAAAAAATATACATGATAAATTTACACATAATTTAAATTATGTTATCACCTAGAGAACCCCTACCCTCCATTAAAATGGTTTAGTCTAAATTTCTGCTCCAGGGTGTGTTTCCAAAGCCAGACCTGCAAGCAAAGAGACTGTCACGCATCTGGCATGACACCTACGCTTTCAGACTCTCATACTCACACAAGAAATCTTACAGCAAATCTGTATTATTTCAATATAAACCTAAAATTAGCTATGACAGATGCTTTGGGGTAGTTTGCAAACCTTTCAGACTATTTACAAGGTCATGAAACTGTGGCCCACAAGTACAAGCGTGTGCATGTGTGTGCATACTTCTCTTGAATTGAAAATTTCACTCCAACCAGCTGACCAAATTTGGCCCCTGGAGACATTAGACGTAGAGAGTGGTGGGCGGAAAAGCACAGTGCAGCTTTTTAAACTTAACTCATAACCAACAGTTAATCAATAAAAGATTATGTGAAATGGTGGAATTTAATCGTCTAGTGTCGAACAATTTTTATAAAGATTGTCTTATTTGATTGTGCTGGAACTAACTTGGTTAGTTAATAGCATAGATGTCAGGATCGGTCCGTTCTGCCTCTTTGTTATGTATGTTCCCTGTTTAGCCAGCAGGTGTCGCTGGCCGTCCCAGATCCTTCACTCCTAGTGTTTCCCTGTTTCCCTGGCCGCCCCATGGCTTAACAGGCTAAGCGGTTAGCTGTTGTCCAGATTCCCCTTTCATTGTGAGCAACTAGCTGTTATTTCACTTTTTTTGTGTGTGTTTTCTTGGTTTATTATGTGTTCGTGTATTTCAGTTACAGTCCTTTGTTTTTGCTCTCCGTTCCCTGTTTGTAGTATGTTTAGTTTTCCTTGTTTTAATTTTCCTTGGTATTTGGACGTCTGAGGGGGTGGCATGGTGGTGCAGTGCACTGTTGCCTTGCACCCCTAGGACCAGGGTTCGCGTCTCCGTCTACATTACATGTGTGTGGAGTTTGCATGTTCTCCCCATGTCGTTGTGGGGTTTCCTCCGGGTACTCCGGTTTCCCCCCACAGTCCAAAGACATGCTGAGGCCAATTGAAGTTACTAAATTAGGTGTGCATGTGTGAGTGTGCCCTGCGATGGGGTGACCCCCCCCGTCCTGGGTTGTTTCCTGCCTTGTGCCCATAGCTTCTGGAATAGGCTCTGGACCCCCTGCAACCCAGAAGGATAAGCAGTTTGGAAAATGAATGAATGAATTTGGACCTCTGATTGTAAACGTACCCCAGCTGTTCCTTGTCACCCTGAGTCCTTAGTGATTGGTTAATTGGTTATGGTTCTCATCTGTCCCTCATTATCAGTTTATTCAAGTACTTGCCTTTGTTCTGTTTCTTGGTTGCTCATTGCACGTTAGTTTCTGTCTTTTTAGTGTTCTGCTCTTTGCTTGGTCCCCACATGTCTTATTGCTGTGTCATCTTAGTTGTATCTTTTAGTGTTAGTTTACAATCGGTTTGTTATAGTTTAGTTCTTGCTCCTGCCTACTCGTTTTGACCCCTTGTGGTTTCTTTGTTTCCTGCTTCTCCCTTTGTGTTCCATATGGGTTAATAAAACCCTGTTTGAAAGCTGCTATGTAGATTCTCCCTCTGTTGTCATGCCCCGCTGTAACAATAGCACAAATAGCATAATATCGCAGTGATAAATAGCCTTTGTGTCAGTCACAATTCTCATCCCACTGTGTTTGCTGTCAGGGCATAAGAATGAATAAGATGTCTATTAAAAAACGGGGCCAGACCTGGCATGTACATGGAAAACGCCATAAAGTTACTCACTTACTAGAAACTCAGAATCATTCCGTTCATAAACAGTGCTGGCAGAAAGTCCCATTTATCACTAAGAAGAGATCCAGTAAATCCCCTATATTTATATTTATGGGTCTCTAAGAGAAGATCTCCTACTTGCTATTTTATGTGTGTTGTTTGTGGAAAGTTAGGACTGGTTTGTAAGAGAAGACAGGGTGCAGGAGAGTGACAGGGGCATTATAGTGGAGCCAGAAGTGAGGTCGTTTTTCCACAGCGCATTGCCTGACAGTCGTGGAGAAGTCTCGTGATTTGTGCATAATTTTAATAATTCATGCAAATATATAATGTGGAAAATTACCACACTTAATCTGTCATTTTAGTGAATATCAGTGAAAATGGAAAGATTTTCACTTAACATATAATTGTAACAGTAATAGTTCACAAATATGGATTGTATTTAGCTTAACTACAGAATCGCCCTATAATGCGATGTGATGTCACACCCCTGAACCCCCAGTGTTAATATGAAGCATACACCCTTGGTTATGCTGCTTTTATGTCATTCGCACCTTGTCTTTCTCCCTTACTTGTGGTCACTGTTCTCCACACTTTGTGGACCTTTGAAATGGACTGACTGGTTGTTTTTAATATGGTCCCATTAAGTTTGTTAGGTCTAAGTAAAGTCCAAGTCTTGTCGAAGAACACTTAGACGTGTCCTTGCCTTTAGAAGCTAATCTTATCTTTGTGGAGAGCCCCAAATGAGTTCAGGCACTAAGACAAACCTAGATTCTTTTCCCAGATCCAAGACTGCTGATCTCACCGTTTTGTGCTCACAGAATATTTTGGGACACTTGCTTAATTCAGTAAAAATATTGGCGATTTATAATAAAAATAAATTACTTATACAAAAAATATGTCACATTAGAAACAACCAGTAGTTTTAAGTAAAGCATTAATTCCATGTAGTAATAAATTGAAATCCAAATTATAGTTCTAAAATAGCTGCTCTGAGTTAAAAAGTTCATTGACGAGCATCATTGGGTGATTTTTAATGAGTAACACCTTTGCAATAACATAAAACTCCAAACACTGGCGTTTAGTACCCCTTCACTACCCCTTCATGACCACACAGTACTACCCAGCCTCCTGCCCATCACAGTGTAGATCCAGAGTTTGATCAAAAATCCTGCAGACAGAGACGTGTTGATGCCAAATGAAGTGAAAAAATCTGTGGAACTTGAACTTGAGAACCCGAGAAGGTGAGGGAGGGAGAATGGAAGGGCATAATGGCCAAATGAAGCTTCATGAACCATTTTCTGCTGGTTGTCCATGCAGGCTCTACAACCCTCTACCAAGGCTACGGCTTGTCTTAGGTTTACCTACATGTTGTCCTCTTTCTCTTTCAGGCCATCCTGCTCATTTCCAATGTACGCCTTGACCTCAAAGTCCACGCCACAAGGCTGGCTCAATAGGAATAAAGGCTGTCAGTTTTCATCTTGTGGAAATCACTTGGTCAGGGCCCATGTCAGTCAGTGAGCAAGACAGCACCCAGAGCGTTGGGGGTGCTTACCTTCCCAGCATGCCGTGCTGCAGGCTGAATAGAAACAGAGCAGGGCAGATCTTTTGGAAGCTGAAAAACAGAGAAACAACAGTTTGTGTTATTTGTCTTCTGATAAAAAAACTGTGTTATGGGTCATTAGTGTCTAGCAGTTGACCCATGTTGTTTGGCTATTTGTCAAGCAGTGGGCTGATTAGAGAATTGTGTCTTGGCAGGAGAAACTGTTTTCTTGGACTTGGCTTCATGTATGGATTTCAGTTAAAGAACCAAAAATTAACAGTGACTGATAAACAGCGAAGAATGACTATAAGATAAGAAGGAGGAAAGAAGAGGTACTGTGAAGGTGAAGGGGTGTCCCTGGTCCCCAGCCTTCTTCACCAGGATCTCCTGAGTAGGTGTGGTAGCCAGATCAGCCTCACCCGTCGCAGGGTAGACCTGAATCGTTTGGCTCCAAATGTGTCTCTTGAAGGAGAGGTCGATCACATCCAGGTCATCTCGGCCATAGCGGAAAGCACAAGCCAGCTGTACCAATACTAGAAGGAGCCAGGGGTCATATAGCTGTACCCACACTAGAGGGAGCCAGAGGTCACATAGCTATACCCACACTAGAGGGAATCAGAGGTCATACAGCAGTACCCACACTAGAGGGAGCCAGAGGTCATATAGCAGTACCCACACTAGAGGGAGCCAGAGGTCATACAGCAGTACCCACACTAGAGGGAGCCAGAGGTCATACAGCTGTGCTGAGACTACAGAGGGAGCCAGAGGTCACATAGCTGCACCCACACTAGAGGGAATCAGAGGTCATACAGCAGTACCCACACTAGAGGGAGCCAGAGGTCATACAGCAGTACCCACACTAGAGGGAATCAGAGGTCATACAGCAGTACCCACACTAGAAGGAGCCAGGGGTCATACTGCTGTGCTGAGACTACAGAGGGAGCCAGAGGTCAAACAGCTATACCCACACTAGAGGGAGCCAGAGGTCATATGGCTGTTCTCAGTCTACAGAGGGAACCAGAGGTTATACAGCTGTATCCACACTAGGGGTAACCAGAGGTCATACAGCTGTACCTTGGGCTTTCTGGTGGGAGTAAAGCATCAGGCTAGAGTGGGGTAAAGCAGTTAAACAGCTGAGCCTGCAGTTTCACTATGCATAATTACATTTAAATGTAATGTAACAGACGTTTTCATTAAAAGCAACAGACAATTGAGAAAGCAGGGTCGGTCAGTCAGTCTGTGAAGTATTTGCGGTTAAGGGCCTTGCTCAAGGGCTCAGTAGTGATTTCACTCTGCCAACCACAGGACTTGAACTCTGGTCCTTCAGTGCAACAGCAGTGATCACTGACCAAGTGAGCTCTGAATGTCATTAGCTGTCACTGTGCCAGCTGGCAAACGAGCTGCTTTGCAGGAGCACATATTTAACTATACATCATGCAACCCGGGTCTCCTCCGGGTTTCTTCCTCACTGCCTGTCATACCTTTTCTCCCTTTCAGCTCTGCTGGGTCCACCTTTACCACCCCATCTGTCAGAGGGGGGAGAGAAGCCAGAGTCAGACACCATCCTCAACAGAAAGAGGATGCAAGCAGAAGGCAATCTTATCCAGTACCACGTCCGAGTCACTGGTGCAGTACTCTGCCATCCTTGCTTACTACAGCACGGGGAGTTATGGGAAAGTACAAAGGACTGGCTTCGGGTGGTCACATGATTAGATGTAGATAAAGAAACTGACCAAATGGACTAATCAAATAGCAGTGGATTTGAATTCAGTCTGTCTTGACTCTGGGATTCAAGCGGAGGTTAAGCTGTTAAAGGTCATCAGATTCTCCAGATGCATATGGTGGAAACAACATTTTTATGCAGATGAAATAAAAATGACTTTGTCTGTCTTACACATGGCAGTGCTAAGATTTGTTAATAAAAAAAAGAACAGACTGTGATGCAATAACAAGTACAGTACCAGTCTAAAGTTTGGACACACCTACACACAGAAAAGTTTATTTTTACTATACTTTGCATCTTAGAATAATTATATAGACATCAAAACTATATGTAAAAAACATACAGCTGTGGAAAAAAAATGACGAGACCACTCCATATTTTTTAAAAATCTGCAGTTTTGAATCCTGGTGTAATCCTGCTTCTGCTGGCAGAAGGACACACTGAGCAGCAGGTTTCTTCCAGACTGAAAGACAGCAGCACACAAGAACAAGGTACAACAGCAGACACTGGGAACGACCAGAGACCAGCCAGGCAGAAGGCAGAAGCGACTTTCTAATGCCAGAGATGATCGTTAACTTACCTGGCAGTGCCTCATAAATCAGATGATCACATCAAGTGCCCTTCAAAAGGAATGGAGAAGATTAAGTGCAGATGGAAAATGCACTGCTAGGACAATTCATAACTGGGTCCTAGAAGCAGGACTGAAGCCCCATAAAGCAAGGAAGAAGCCCCTCATTCATGAGAAACAGAGAAGAACCAGGCCGTAGTTTGCAAAAAAAATATGTATATTTTACACAGGCATGTACCCTTCATTTTTTCCAGAGCTGTATATGGAATTATGCACTGATCAAAAAAGTAATAATCAAAGAAAGATTTGACTTGTTGGGGGGCAGCTCTGTGGGTTGGGACTCAGAAGATTGGTCATTCAAATCAATGGTCAGCAGAGTGATGCCATCATTGGGCCCTTCAGCCAGGACCTTAACTCCAATTGCTCCAGGGATTGGCTGACCCTACTTTCCCCTCTACGCCAGTTTCATGAGGTGGCCTCCTGGGATGCTTTTCCAGCTGCTCTGAAGGAGTTCCCACATATGCTGAACACTTATTGGCCGCTTCACTCTCTGTTCAAACTCCTCCAATACTATTTCTACAGTGTTTAGGTCAGGTGGCCAGGTTATGTGATGCAACAGTCTGTCACACTCCTTTGTAGGCGATTTGGCATGTCTACACTTTTGACTGGTACTGTAACATTTATAGAACTAGAAGAAAAGCCAGTGAGGACTCACCCACAGTGTCCACTGTGTCTATACGGTCCACAAAGTCCCTCCTGCCCAGGTAGAGGGAGATCTGGGAGAAGAAGGAGAAAGGAGTAGTAGTTATGACCTGGTTCAGAGTGAATCAGCTCAGCGGACTGTAGCTGTGTGTGTGTTTTATTGGGCTGGGAAACAACAGCCTCTTACACTTTCTGCATCTGTTTTGCAGGCAGGCTGGTAAGCAATTGGACTTTGATCAGAAGTTTTCAGGTTTTACTATCCAGAGAGGAAATTACTGTAGACCTTACTTATATCAGTAAATGCTGAGGTGTACAGATGGGACAATTTGAAGATATTAAGTTAAAATTACGTGCATGCCAAACAAGACACTAATATGGCTAGATGGTTATTCATAAGACTGAAGGTGTGTAGTACAGTAAGCATTCATGATATGACTAGAATTTCCTTACCGACCCGTTGACACTCCTTTTCCTGAAGACCCTACAGAGACGGCAAAAAGGAGACTGTTAGGTGGGTGGATGTTGGGATCTCTTTTGTTAGTCACTCAATCACATATCACCATTGATTCAGAAAAAGATACTGAAGGCTGGAGAGTTTGGTGACCATGGAGATATGATGAAGGGTGATGATGGAGGTTGGGTTGGTGACTATGGAGAGATGATGAAGGGTGATGATGGAGGTTGGTGACCATGGAGAGATTATGTAGGCTGGAGGCTGTGGTTGCTGATCATGGCAGGATGGTTGATAACCATGCTTTCTGGAGGCAACACGCTGGGATATATCTGCGTGTAATTTTGTTCATGAGCTCTTTTTCTTAATGAAAGCACTGCCTGTTGCAGAAAGCCGTGCTACACCAATGGGTGGCCAGATACACAAAAGCAGGGCATGCTTCTCTGTGTCACTGTGCTTTCACTTCAGTGGATGATGGCTGAGTACACCCTTCTCATCATAGCAGACTAATTGATTGTTAACTTTCTGGGGCGTCTTCTGATACACATATTAGAGTTACAGAGTACCGACTCAATGAAAGGCAACCAGTAAAATTGATGGTGGGCTCCCCCTGCTGGTTATTCTTGAGAAGGAAAAGACGGGACAGAATGCTGATATTCAATGCTGAAGATTCCAGAGGAACCACGTCAATTACTATGATCTTAATGATTTCAGGCCACTAAGTAAAATCATTCATGAAATGATGTTGTTTCTGGATTATTTGGATTATTTAACGCACTTATTAAATTTGGTTTATTTATTATTTTGCGTAGCTGTGACAGTAATGGTTCTTCAGTTTGTTGTGTGTATTTCCTCGTTGGGTTTATAATCAATGTATTTGACCTGTGAGGAATTAAATTTGTTGTGTGTTTTGGTAAATAGGCAGGTTAAGGATTTTTTGTTGTCTTCTGAATCACATTAAATAAGACCTAATCCAGCCTACCCAGAAAAACATGTTAATATACTATGCTCAGGTCAAACTGAAGAGTTCTGTTCCCATTCTTAAGAAATAAGACCAAGGCTTGGACTTACTTAGCCATTGCTGTGTTTCATGGGCTGGAGATTCCTGTAAAAAACCCAGCAAGAGTGAGCACCAGATGGCAGAAGATGGCAGAAGATGGCACCAGATGGCAGAAGATGGCAGAAGACCGAAACGCACCCCAAACTAGGAAGGAACCTTCCATTAATTTTGAGTCATGGGGGCCAGAGAAGGTAAAATGATACCTATAAACAAACTACCTGTAAGTCTGTTCTGATCTTAATAGTGATGGAAAACTCTAGAATGTTTATGAATTTTATACACCTGGAAGGATAATGTGGCCGGTGAAGCTGCGGCTGTATGGAGTAGGAGATTAAACCATGATGGGTAAGAGATGCACCTGTAAATATGAGAGGAATCTGACTGGAACTTCAGATGGAGTTGTAGAGGATAACATGGATGTGGTTGTAGTGTGGCATGCAGCTGTGTGTATAAGATGGATGTTAAAATCCCTCCACAATTGTGTAATGACACAATGGGTTTTTTGTGTGATATAACTATTTGCATGTGCGCATGTTAGTAGGGCGTGTTTATTTGTCTGCTGGGGAGAGCTAGTACTGCTGTCATGCTATACCCATACCAATGTTTCATTATCATTCTGCCATTAGCAAATAGGCATTAGCACTCTGCCATTAGCATGCAGCCTTTACCATGCTGGCATTACCACGCAGCCTTTATCACTCAGCTATTGACACATTACATTAGCACCCTGCCTTTAGCACATAGCCATTATCACATAGCCTTTAGCACCCTGCCTTTAGCATGCATCCATTAGCACACAGCCTTTAGCACCTGCCTTTAGCATGCAGCCATTAGTACACAGCCTTTAGCACCCTGCCATTAGCATTCTTTCATTAGCATGTAGGCGTTAGCTCTTTTTCATTAACTCTGTCTTTAGCACACCGACATTAGCACTCTGCCATTAGCACACAGGCTTTAGCACCCTGCTATTGACATACAGCCTTTATCACTCTGCCATCAGCATCCCACCTTTAGCACATAGCCATTTAGCACTCTTTCATTAGCACCCACCCTTTACCACCCTGCCATTAGCACGCAGCCAGACGCCTCACCTACTCCCACCAAGGCCCCTCATTTCACACCACTTTGAGAATCTCACACCTACCTCTGCCCCGACGTGCTGTCACTCCAGTAGTATGACAGATCCACACGCAGCGAGCAAGTTCTTTGTGACCAGGGGGTGTGCTCCCCAGAACAGGCCTCCACTCTGCCTTTATAGCCTTCCTATCCCTCCCCCTGCCCCCCTGCTGTTCTTTGCCCACCGTCCTATCAGCCAACAAGTGAGTTTAAAAATAAGATCAATAGGGGGCACAGGAGGATTAGGGTTACGGAAATAGAAACGTATGCATGTGTGTGTGTGTGTGTGTCAGAAGGCAGAGACTGAGGGCCTTAGCCAAAGCTGTGTTTATTGGAATGGGCTGTATCCCTTGCGGTGACACCAGTGTGGCAGCCTCCAGCATGGCTGGGATGCCAGCGCCTCCCCAGGCCGCATCACGCCGGCCTCAGAGCCTCGATCTGGATGGGCTGGGATGCCGGCGCCTCCCCAGGCCGCGTCACGCCGGCCTCAGAGCCTCGATCTGGATGGGCTGGGATGCCGGCGCCTCCCCAGGCCGCGTCACGCCGGCCTCAGAGCCTCGATCTCTTAAGCTGCACCTCAGCACTCTTTGTGATTCTATGTTGCTTTGGCCCAGATTAACAGCCTTTGATTAGATAACTAACTGACTACTTTTACTCATTCTAGTTCAATTCTAGTTTAACTCTCCAGAGCGCCACATCATACAAACGCAAAACCACAAAAGCCGCTTGCCGTCACCGCCTGGGCTTAGAGATGTGCCACAGTCAGACGGAGGCCGCAGAAAGGATCATGTGACAACCTCTACAGGGGCTGTTTTCGCATGACCCATCTGTCTTTCAGCTGAGCATGAGCTGCAAATCCTCTGCCCTCCACTGGGGGAACTGCCGCACCACTGCAGGGAGAAGGCTGTCGAAACATACATAACATAGTATAATATATATATAAACATTAAATGCTTTCATCATAAGCAACTTACATTTGAGAAGGGAGGGTCACCCAGTCCCTAGAACAATTGAAGCTGAGGGCCCCAGTAGTGACACTACTCTGTATGGGATTCAAACCAGCAACCTTCTGATCACAGGCACAGCATCCTAACCCACAGTGAGCCACAGACTGCAGTTTATTTGTTTATGAATTGTGCTGCTGTCCATGATCCACTCCCGCTGATGGTCAGACAGATGTGCTCTCAGTCAGAGAGAAACATCACAGACACAGCATGCCTGAGGTTTTGAGATGAGCAAGCAAATTTTGCCACAGTCAGTTTGACACGGCCCTGGTCTTCACCTTGATCAGTCCCCCACAGAGGTTATTTTTAACTTGAGAGAGACCTAAAGTGTAGATGTGTTTCCACTGCCACCAGGAACCAAGCCATACCTGAGCCATACCACGTAATGATGGTTTTCCATTGTAAATTATCCAACCACGTACCCAAATTGTAACTGCGCTGATATGGTTCTGCTTACTAGCAGTGCCAAAAACAAGACCAATCTGTCCTGGCTGCACCACCGCCATCTGATTGGTTGAAATGCATAGAGATACCGGTGTTCTGCGTCAATATGCATGGATTTTCTGAAGTAAAAAAAGGCATATTCGATATATGATTCAATATTAGTAGTATCGCGCAGTATCAATGCATTCCCAATAACTTGGAACCTTAAAATTTCAAACCTCCTACTTAAAAAAGTAGTCAAAAAGTACTTAAACTTTACAAATGCTTCTGTTTTTGACGTTACTGTCGTTCTCCAAACTCACAGGGTTGCCAACTTTGGTCAGCTGATTGAAGTATGACTTTCAATCTGAGACAAGTCTGTACACATATACACATGCATTTACATGTACAGTTGGGAAAATGAGTATTGAAGGCGTTAACATTTTTCTCAGTAAATATATTTCTGATGGGGCTATTGACATGAAGTTTACACCAGATGTGATCATGAGATGCTTCTTGGTAATGAGAAACCTTTTTATAGGCCATCAATTAGGACTAAACCAGCTGATATCAGTTTGCACTGATAGAGGGCAGGATTGCTTTCTAAATACTGACAGATTTCAGCTGGTTTCTTGGTTTTTCCTGCCTTTTTGCAGCTCCTTTACTTATTCCCTGTGTCATTTCGCTTTATTACACATAATTTATGGACTTATTTGTTTTGATTTCTTTGTATGTGTGAATTACTCTGGTTGTTACTGACATCTGGTGTAAACTTCATGTCAATAGCCCCATTTGAAGTATATTTACTGAGAAAAATACTTACACTATATTGCCAAAAGTATTGGGACACCTGCCTTTACACACACATGAACTTTAATGACATCCCATTCTTAATACATAGGCTTTAATATGGAGTTGGCCAACCTTTGCAGCTATAGCAGCTTCAGCTCTTCTAGGAAGACTGTCTGCAAGGTTTAGGAGTGTGTTTATGGGAATTTTTGACCATTCTTCCAGGAGAGCATTTGTGAGGTCATGCACTGATGTTGGACAAGAAGGCCTGGCTCACAGTCTCCGCTCTAATTCATCCCAAAAGTGTTCTATCAGGATGAGGTCAGGGCTCTATGCAGTCCAGTAAAGTTCCTCCACACCAGACTTGCTCATCCATGTCCTTATGGACCTTGCTTTGTGTACTGGTGTACAGTTATGTTGGAACAGGAAGGGGGCATCCCTAAACTGTTCCCACAAAGCAGGATGCAAGGGGCCAAGCCTAATGCCTGAAAAACAACCCCACACCATAATCCCCCCTCCACCAAACTTTACACTTGGCACAATGCGGTCAGAAGCGTGGTTCGTCACTCCAGAGAACACGTCTCCACTGCTTTAGAGTCCAGTGGCGGCATTCTTTACATCACTGCATCCGAGACTTTGCATTGCATTTGGTCATGTAAAGCTTGGACGCAGCTGCTCACCCATGGAAACCCATTCCATGAAGTTCCCTACGCACTGTTCTTGAGCTAATCTGAAGGCTGTAGCTACTGACTCTGCAGACAGTTGCTGACTTCTGCACACTGTGCACCTCAGCATGCAGTGTTCCTGCTCTGTTATTTTACATGGCCTCCCACTTCGTGGCTGAGTTGCTCTTGTTCCCATTCGCTTCCACTTTCTTATAACATCATTAACAGCTGACCGTGGAATATTTAGTAGCGAGGAAATTTCACGAATGGACTTACTACACAGGTGGCATCCTATCACCGTACCACGCTTGAATTCACTGATCTCCTGAGAGCAACCCATTCTTTCACAAATGTTTGTAGAAGCAGTCTGCATGCCTAGGTGCTTGATTTTATACATCTGTGGCTATGGTAGTTATTAAAACACCTGACTTCAATGATTTTGAGGGGTGTCCCAATACTTTTGGCAATATAGTGTATTTTCCCCACTGTATTTAACAGTTTTATTACCTTGTAAATAATGTGTAGTGTTTGTAAACTACCCCAACACTTTTGATGTAGTTAATTTTAGGTTTATAATTGAATAATATAGATTTGCCTTAAGAGTCGTCTGAAAGCATGACTGTCACATCAGTTGCGTGAGAGCTGGCAACTCTGAAGCCGGCAACGCCTATAAGAAACTGACCTTTCTGAAGTTGAAAACTGAAGCGAGCTGAAACCGTTCTGTAAGTAGTGTCTGTCTGTCCATCTATCTATCTATCTATCTATCTATCTATCTATCTATCTATCTATCTATCTATCTGTCTGTCTGTCTGTCTGTCTGTCTGTCTGTCTATCTATCTATCTATCTATCTATCTATCTATCTATCTATCTATCTATCCAGCCCCCCTGACTAGCCTGATAAGAGGGAAGACTCAGTCGAATTTTAGAGGCAGACATTTTTAATTACCAAATTTCAGTACAGCAGTCAGTCTCTTACTCCTTCAAATAGGAGCTCCACCCTGTGTGCTCTCAGCTCAGAACAGCGCTTTAAACAGTTAAATTTAGGAATGCTGCTCTCTTTAATTTGTTGTAATTTGCTTTGGATAAAGTTGCCTGCTAAGCAAATTCCTGTCATTCGGAGCTGCAGCACAAGCCCCTCTGAAGGGGTGCTGTCGCACAGAGGGGTCGAACGGCGCCTGTATCCTTCAGTATGGGGCTCACTGATACAGGCAGAGTGGAATGGGCTCACAGTGTGAGGTCACTTCTTGTAAAAAAACACCAACAAGGTTGTGAAGTTGTAAAAGGCAATGACATCATCAGAGTAAACACAGGGAGTTTGTTTTGATGGAAAACAAAGGGCTGCATTGGCTGGGGTGTAATGGGGTTTGTGTGTGTGTGTGTGTAGATGTGGGTGTTTTTTTTGCTGACTTGTGAGATGTGATAGGAGCAAACCAGGGTTACACAGCTGACTTCAGACAAAACTCCATGCAGGCAGAGGTGAGGGGGTGGGGAGGGGCGGGGTCCGGGAATGGGCACGAGGCATAAGATGCAGAAAGTATGAGATGATCATAACCATATGGAGACTGGTGGGGAGGGGGAAGCACACCCCCCGGATAAACAAGAAAAGCATACAGAGCAAAATGGAGAGAGAGAGAGTGAGAGAGCGAGAGAGTGCAATGGAAATAAAGCAAAACAGCAAGAATGTGAAAAGAAACATCTTTAGGGAGAGGAGGAGCTCAAATAGAGGAAGAGTACCGGGGAGAGGGAGGAGCCCCAAGAAGAGAAAGAGCGCCAGGGAGAGGAGGAGCTCAGGGAGAGGGAGGCGAGAGAGGCTCTTTGAAGGGCTCGGCTGTCAGAGGAGCCCTGCCTGCTCATGTCAGCGTCTTTCCACTCTCTCCTCATCCGTCTGACTTGCTGCTTCCTCTGTCTGCTTTGAGGTTTTCTGGAGGGCCACCTGCCATTACCACTCTTTTCCACATGAGGTGCTGTTACACACGTCGGAGATCACAGTTTGGGAAGGTTACGAATGCTTTGGGGAGCCCTGGTACTCTCCGCAGGCGACGTGTCACTGAGAGGGCCCCCTGGAGGTCACGGGCAGGGGAACCGGAGCAGTGGGCCGGGCTCAGGGAGGCGTGGCCTCACCCTTATATGGACGGCAGAAGGCTGAAGCTCTGGAGTGACTCTTGCTGCTGCCCCGTGGTTCTCTGAGAGGTCCTCTCCTCTGGTACTTCACGAGGGCTGTTCAGGGCCGTGCTTTGTTGTTCTTTTCTGTTGGACTGTGGCTCCCCGTCCCCAGACAAGAGGAGCCTTGGTGTCAGAGGAGACTGCCGTCATGTCTGCCTGCTAGTCCCGGCGTCTTCCTGTGGCTCACCGGCCCCGGTGGAGCGGTGCCGCTGGGCCTGCACCTCATCGCCGGCACATCTGCCCCGGAGGTCGCTCTTTACCCCCTCCCCCAGGGGAACCACCGCCTCAGAATGAGAGAGGAGCTCCACATGCTCTCTCTCTTCACCAGGACACCCTACTTCTGACAGACCTCTTCTTGTTGCTATGAGACAGCATCTCGGGGCAGAGTCTCCGCTCACCTGGCCTTTTCTTTGGCCCTGAGGCCCACGTCACCATGGCGACGCCGGCCTGGTACCACCGGGACATCAGCCGTGTGCAGGCCGAGGAGCTTCTGGCCCGGGCAGGGCAAGACGGCAGCTTCTTAGTGCGGAACAGTGAGTCAGTGGCGGAAGCCTACGCCTTGTGTCTGCTGTGAGTACACACCCCACTCTCTGCACCCCCTGTCTGTCTTTCTGCTGGTTTTAGGTTAGATACTGCAGGAAATAATGCATTCAGAAAGTCTGAATCTCCTATGTACCAAAAAAACATGTGAGTCAAAATTCAATGTGACTGAGAGGAAACCTGTGAGGTGATTGACGCTTATTAAGGTCACAAGTAACAAGTTGCAGATAAGCTGGGTATTTTACCAGAGTAAATTTTGGCAAGCACCTCCTCCAGCGCCAGCCTCATGCTATCAGATTATCCAGCTGAATTGTCATTCAGCCACTCCCTGCCACTGCTAATGAATTAGAAAAAGTTTGCTAAAAGTGGCCATTTTATTAATCTTCCATCAGAGAGTCACACCTCAAAGTCTCTCACCAGGAATTCAGGGGACGAGATGTAAATGCCTGGCTACTGACAGACGGGGGATGTGATCTCATCCGGTCCGACTGGTCGATCCTCTGGCCAAGGGAAATGGGGCAGTGAATCAGTGCAGCAGATGGATTTAGCAGATCTCCACATAGGCTGGGAGTGAGGGAGGGAGAGAGAGAGAGAAGGAGGGAGGGAGAGAGAAAATTTTGGTGCCAAAGACTGCAGCAGTAGAGCCGGCACTGGGCCCAGCTACGTCTCTTTGGCCAGGCCGCTCCCTCCAACCGGCCCCAGAAAGGGGGCTCTGCTTCCCATGCCTTGCCGGGTTTCCTGACCGCCGGCAGCAGACACATTCCTGAGCGCTGATCTCCCAGGGCTGCCCCCCTCCTCCTCCCCATTGAAGGCGGCAGTTTAGTCAGATGCCTATTTTTTCCTCGCTTTGTCACACTACATGCATGAGTGTATTTAACAGGCCAAATGCGTGACAGCTGTGTACTGTACTAAGTGTTAAAGTTTCTGAAAACTTAAATCCTGCGCTGCTAAATGGTATGCTCAGGAATTATAAGGAAGCTTCTATTGTTTTGCTCCCAAATGCAGTGACCGAGTGACTGTGAGTGAGTAGGGTGCCCAATTTGCAGTGGAGTGGGCAGGGTGTCCCATTATCAGCGTTGTTTTACGCAAGGGCACTTAGACAACTTCACATGCTTCCTACTATTTCACCTGCAGCTTCCAGCGCCATGTGCACACGTACCGGATCCTGCCTGATGCGGATGGGCTCCTGGCAGTGCAGGTAAGGAATGCCCCAAGTCTCTGGATGAAGGTGTAGCTCAATGAGTGATGATGCTGTTTTAGGGTTAAAAAAGCACTGAACCTAAACCAAGCATCCAGTCGTGATCATGTGTCAGACCATGCTGCTGCATGCGGATCTGATCTAACCGCTGTGATCAGCTCGAAACAGGACCTTCACCTTCTGCGTTAAAAGGATACCAGTGAAACTGCCTGTGTTTCTCTGCATCTCTGTGCACAATTATGAGTGTCTGTCTGTATCGCTATGCACAGTCATGAGTGTGTCTGTCTGTATCTCTGTACACAGTCATGAGTGTGTCTGTCTGTATCTCTGTGCACAGCTATGAGTGAGTCTGTCTGTATCTCTATATGCAGTTATGAGTATATCCGTCTGTAGCTTTGTGCACAGTCATGAATGTGTCTGTGTGTCTATGCACAGTCATGATTGTGTCTAAATCTCAGTTCACAATCATGAGTGTGTCTGTCTGTATCTCTGTGCACAGTCATGAGTGTGTCTGTCTATCTCTATGCAAAGTCATGAGTGTGTCTGTATCTCTGTACACAGTCATGAGTGTGTCTGTATCTCTGTGCACAGTCATGAGTGTGTCTATCTGTATCTCAGTTCACAATCATGAGTGTGTCTGTATCTCTGTACATAGTCATGAGTCATGAGTGTGTCTGTATCTCTGTGCACAGTCATGAGTGTGTCTGTCTGTATCTCTATGCACAGTCATGAGTGTGTCTGTATCTCTGTGCACAGCGATGAGTGAGTCTGTCTGTATCTCTGTACACAGTCATGAGTGTGTCTGTATCTCTGTGCACAGCGATGAATGAGTCTGTCTGTATCTCTGTACACAGTCATGATTGTGTTTTTCTGTATCTCTGTACACAGTCATGAGTGTGTCTATCTATATCTCTGTGCACAGCTATGAGTGAGTCTGTCTAGGTGTTTGAGTCTTTAAGAAGCAGCTTAACCTTCTAGCATAGCTCTAAGAAAAATGTCTGCCCCTCCCCCCACCCGTTGGTTTGGATCCTCGGAACTGGAGCTGAGTGTATAATGAAACCAGAACCGTCTCAAACCGCAGGGAGGTTTAACATGGCCTCTTCCTGGAGGAGCCCTCTAAGACTTCAGATCTCTCACACTCAACTCTGCAGGGCTTCTAAGTCTTCGACATTTTGAGCTGAGTTTGGACAACCTAACTGACCAGCAGAGGTTTCTATGTCTGCTGCTCTTTGCTTCTGTCCTCCCCCTTGCCCTCTCCCTGATTCGCTCTTTGTGCTTCTCATTGTCATTCTGGCTGGAAGCGAACCATCCCAGAACCAGAATTGCAAGCAGTCAAACAGCTCTGGACTGGGTGGGCTCACTGCAGGGTCAGACTCAGTGACTCACAGAGTTAGCATGCAGCCTCGCTAAGCTGTAGTATGGGGCAGGATGTGGGTGGTATGACATCATTGGGAACACGGTGGGGGGTGCCATCATTTCCTGTGCTGAGGGGGACTTTCGTGTGTAACCAATGAGTCTGTAATTCGTATTTGGAGTATTTAGGAGTAATTAATTTACATTAATGTCTGTGCTTTTATGTGCATTTATCTAGATACCTGTTTATTTTAAACACCAGTCGGGTGTGTGGCAGAGGGTTTCTTCCTGAGGTTTTTGGTTGTCTTCCAGTTGAATGTAAATGCGTATAGGTGTGATGCCTCACACAGTGGCGAGTGACAGAGCTCCCCTACTGATGGGCTGGAAATGGTAGCCATTTCTCAGCCTCTTGACTAATCTTGTGTAGCATGGCTACGGTTCTCACTTGGTCTTTATCGAACAGCTCGTTCTCATCAGAAATCTTTTTTTTTTTTTGTTAATCTTTCTGTCATATTTTTCTAAATTCACCAATGCTGCCTGATTACAACAGGCAAGTAATCTCTCGCTCCCTTTCTGGCAAGGAGTTATGCCCACAAAATGCCTTTCAAGTGCAAAGATCCCACCAGGCAGCCTTAAGGGTCAGGAAAAGCTTGTCCATCAGTATCCGTCTGTCTCTGTCTCTGTCTGTCTGATTCTCTGTCCCTGTAGGCTGGCTGTGAAGATGATTGTGATTTTGACTACTACAGGTTGTCAAAAGTAGTGAGGCTCCTTTCTGTGCTGGGGGGGCTCAATTGTGTACTGGAGGCCCTCCTTTCTGTGCTGAGGGATCCTCTGTTCTATGCTGGGGCCCACCTTTCTGTGCTGGGGGCCTGCTTGTCTTTACTGGAGGGCCCTTTTTTGTGCTTGGGGCCCTCCTTTTCGTACTGTGGGCCCTCCATTCTGTGGTGGGGCCTCTTTTTTCTGTATTGGGGCCCCTCCTTTCTGTGATGGCTCTGACTGTTTGCTCACTCCCACAGACCTCCCAAGGGGTACAGGTGAATTGTTTCCGGACGCTGGGGGACCTGGTGCTGGGGTACCAGCAGCCCCACAAAGGCCTGGTGACCCCACTGCTGTACCCCGTGGGCCAGGAGGCCGAGCTGGGAGATGAGAGCTCTGGTGAGAGCAACTGGGCCAGTTGGATGGATCAGATTATATTTCTATAGAACAGGAGAAAAATGTATAAGTATGTAATTCAAAAATGGGTCACTAGGTGGCAGTTTAGCCTCACGCCTCCCAGATTTCAAGTACTGGAAGATGGATGGTCATGTAATAAATCCTGCTGAATTGTATCTCAGCATCACCGTTTAAGGGGATTATGACCTGCTGGTGGTGCTATGATGTCCTGTTTCTCCTCCTGGCTGCAGATGGGGAAGACGAAAGGCTGGGTGTGACGTCGTCAGGGTGGAGCCCCGGCCCGGCCCCGCCCATGGCCCCGCCCCCTGGCCTCACCATGAGCCCAGGCTCCCATCTCTTTTTCCTGCACAGACTGCAGGAGCTCTCCAGCCAGAGGTAGGGCAGCGCAATTAGGAGAAGGCGCCTTTAGAAAATGAGATGGAACTGACCTCTTGCTGTTCCCCGCAGTGTGGCCAGTGACATGGTGGCCCTGTTCAGCGAGTACCTACGCACTGAGCTTCCTCAGGATATGGACAGCCTGCGGAGGGGGGGAACAAGCCTGCACAGCCTGCAGAGGATCCTGGGCAGCACCTGCGAGGGTCTGCGCAGGTATGCAAGACCACCTGCAATTTTGTACATGAGACTTATAATGGTAAAAAAAACAGAAGGATTTTTAAATAAAAGAACCTGCTGCAGAGTTAATTCATCATGGATGAAACTCTTAATGAGCTGAATTCTTCAAAGGAAACATGGCCTTTCGCCATTAAACACTAAAGCTGTTCTCATGATGCAGTGAGATAGACCTGACTTTGTCCAGCTTGGAGACCCTGGCCAGAGTGTTTGACCACCCCACCTGTCCTCTACTCAGTCCCAAGTCTCAGGTAAACGTCGCCTCATGCCCAGTGACTTCTTCCAGTTTAACCAATGAGGATCAGTGGAGAGCTGTGTCTCCTCTAGGGATCGGACACTGTGTTCCTCTCGTCCAGGGGTCACACTGCCCCCTAGTGTATCGGCTGTCACTGCTCCATTCTGCCAGTGGTTCCTCACTTGAATGTCTCTATCTCTGTATTCCAGAATACAGGGAAGCTGTCAGACCAAGGGCTGGACAGCCTGGTGTGTAAGATCTCAGCCTTGTGCAGCCTGCTGTCTTCACTGGAAAAGAGGGTACATATGCCTGCCCAAGACCCGCCCTAACCCCACCCCGCTGCACCATGCCCTAACAATACCCTGCCCATGACCCGCCCCCCCAGCCACACCCCCTGTCCTGCCCCTGCTGGTGTCATATCTCTGTGCTGCTGGTTATGTATAACTACCAGCAACCCCCTGACCTAGAAATACTTGACTTATGTGACTGCTCAGGCTAGCTGACTGCACACACCAGACTATAAACCCGCAAAATTACTACTGCTTATGATTACAGAGGAGTATATCGTTTACTGCTGGGTAAGCTGATCATCCTCTATATCACAGGTCCTGCACATTTTTGGGTTTTCCTTCATTTAACACATCTGATTCAACTTCTTGTGCTAATTAACACACAGCTCTTGAGCTGAATCATTTGTGGTGGAACAAGGAAAGAACTAAGCTACACAGGGCTGTGCCCCCCCAGGACTGCAGTTTGACACCCCTGCGCTACATGATTAGCTAAGGCTCTTCTCATGAATAAGTAATAGTTCTGTCTACCTTTGTTCCTACTGGACAGGTGCTTAAGGCTCTGCAGGATGCTGTAGCCAATCACAATCTGGCCGTGCAGCCGGCCCCACCCCCTGAGACTGCTATGGTAGCGAAGCCGTGGGCGAGACCCGTCCCGGTATGCAGCTTCCAGGTAACAGCATGTTCACACGGCGGACCCCCAGCGCACGGCCTGCGCCGCAGCTGTGTACGCCAGCATGTGTGTTCAGCTCTGTGTGTGTATCCAGGTGAAGGTGTCACACTCGGGCAGGCAGCTACTGTCGATCGACGTGGACAACGGGGTCCTGCTGTTTGACCGCAAGTCAGGGGCCTTCGGCGTGGAGACCGTGTCACATGACCGCAGTGAGAGGCTTTCCGGTGTGGTTCATGTCAGCCATGGGGCAGCGGGACGTGTGCTAATCCTGATGTCTGTGTGTGTGTCAGTCCTGAAGCTGATGAGGTTCCACACTAATCCAGGGAAACTGTGCATGGTGGTGGACAGTCACACCCACCCCCCCCGGGAGATACTGTTCGAGAGTGAGAAGGTGGGGGGTTCGCCAACACACACACACACACACACACACACACACGCTCATTTCATATATTCTTGTCATCATGGGTCTCCATTCATTTCTATGGGGAAAACTCTAATCCATACATGACTCCCTTAACCCCTACGTAGCCATAACTGTAACCATAAGGAACCAAACAAAATACGAGACTTTTGGCATTTTTTCTTTTTTGATTGCATTCATAGATCTTTGTGGGGACCTGAAAAATGGTCCCCACAATGTCAAAGAAACAGATTTTTATTACATTGTGGGGGAATTTGGTCCCCACAATGTAATCTAAACCTAATCTGCACATGCACGCACGCTCACACACACTCAGTTCAAACACTGTATGGATAAAAGTATTGGGACACACCTCTTAATTATTGAATTCAGGTTTTTTATTCAGACCCATTGCCTCAGGTGTATAAAATCAGGCACCTAGCCATTTAGTTAGGTTTACAAACATTTGTGAAAGAATGGGTTGTTCAAAAGAGCTCAGAGAATTCAAGCATGACACTCTCATAGGATGCCACCTTTGCAATCAGAGATTTTGTGAAATTTCTTCCCTGCTAGATATTCCATGGTCAACTGCAAGTGGTATTATTGCAGTGTGGGAGTGTTCAGGAACAAGCAGACCATGTAAAGTAACAGAGCGGAGTCCCCAAGTGCCAAGGCTCATAGTGCGTAAAAGTTGCCAACACTCTGTTGACTCACTAACTACAGACTTCCTCTGGCATTAACCCCAGCACAAAAACTGTGCAATGAGAGTTTCATGGAATAGGCTTCCATGGCTGAGCAGCTGCATGCAAGCCTCACATCAGCAAATGCATTGCCAAGCGTCAGATGGAGTGGTATAAAGCACGCCTCCACTGGACTCTGGAGCAGTGAAAACGTCTTCTGTGGAGTGACAAATCACGCTTCTGTCTGGCAGTCTGATAGACAAGTCTGGGTTTGGTAGATGCCAGGAGAACATTACCTGCCTGACTGCATTGTGCCAGCTGTAAAGTTTGGTGGAGGAGGGATAATGGTATGGGGTTGTTTTTCAGGGATTGGGCTGGGCCCCTTAGTTCCAGTAAAGGGAACTCTTAGTGCTTCAGCATACCAAGACATTTTGAATAATTCTATGCTTCCGACATTGTGGGAACAGTTTGGGGAAGGCCCTTTTCTGTTCCAGCATGACTGTGCCCCAGTGCACAAAGCAAGGACTATTAAGACATGGTTAGGTGAGTTTGGTGTAGAAGGACTTGACTGACACAGACCCCTGACCTTAACCCCGTCAAAAACATCCTTGGGATGAACTAGAATGGAGATTGTGAGCCAGGCCTTCACATCCAACATCAGTGCCTGACCTCACAGATGCTCTTCTGGATGAATGGCCAAAAATTCCCACGGACACACTCCATAATCTTGTGGTAGGCCTTCCCAGAAGAGTGGCAGCTGTTATAGCTGCAAAGGAGGGACCAGCTCCATATTGATGCCTATGGATTTAGAAAGGGGATGTCATAAAAGTTTCTGTGGGTGTAATGGCCAGGTGTCCCAGTACTTCTGTCCTTATAGTCAGGGATGCACATAACTGGTACGCAAGTACGCATTCGCCTTTAAAAATAATACGTGCGACAATTGATTGTGGTAATAGTGTAAACGCAAACTTATTTTATGTGCATTTGCGCTGATATGAAAACAAAATAATAATAATATGCATTTTAATCTTATTATGCTAAATCTCCTTCATTTGTGATGTATAGGCTAAAATGTAAGGTATTTTCTTGACATAGCAGTGCAAATGCACAGAAAATAAGTACAGATTTGCACTTTTACAAACAATTGATTGTCGCACGTATCGTTTTTAAAGGTGAATGCATACTTGCGTTCCAGTTACGTCCATCCCTGCTTATAGTGTATAGTCCTATCGTTGTGAAGACTGTCCATTCATTTCTATGGGCAACACCCTAATCCTAACCATAACTATGACAACCTTAACCCCTACCCAACCTTAACTATAAGTAACCAATCAAAATACAAGACTTTTGGCTATTTGTTGTTTTTGATTACAGTCACTGATTATATATCTATCTATTTATTTATTTATTTATTTAATTTAATTTAATTTAATTTAGTTTATATTGTGTGGACCTGAAAAATGTCCCAATAGGCTAAAAAGTAACAGGTTTTTACCACATTTGATCTCCACAATGTGGTAAATACAACCTCTCCACACACACACACACACACACACACACTCTCCCCGATGGCTGCTGTTCTTCGCCTATCCTCTTCCTCATCCTCTTCCCCATCCACAGAAGTGTGAGGCCTTCTGCCAGTTACTGCAGCTGCTGAAGGCCAGACGGGCCCCACACAGCCACCCGGACGCCATCTCCGTGTTCGTGGGCACCTGGAACATGGGTCAGTGTACGTGTGGGGGATCCCGATTGCACAGGGGTGTGAGGGCACAGCGGCATGCGGCTCAGGGGCGGTTTGCTAGTACCCGAATCTTCTCATCTGATCTGTGATCTTGTCACAGCTTTCAGCAGGGAACCTTCTAGTAAAACACTGTGCTGAAGCCATTCTGAAAAATCCTTTTGAAAAGCATTAGCCCATGAGCTGTCTTGTTTCATATCCACATGTCCTGTTTGGTAATAAAGGATTCCTTTTGAATGGCCCAGTAGCAATCAGAGGTGGACATTTCAGGTCCAGAAAGTAAAAATCCAGACCAAGATTTTGTTTCAACCAACCAGTTGAGTACTGTGACTGTGACTCTTTATATTCAACTGATTGGTTGAAACAAAATCTTGGTCTGGATTTTTACTTTCTGGACCTGAAATGTCCGCCTCTGATAATGTCTCCAGAGGTGTAGATTTGGGTCCCTCCTCTGCTCTCTGTGTGTGGAATGTTTCTTCATCCAAAGATCTACAGTTAGGCTGACTGCCTTTTGAAGAATTTGCTCAAGATCAATAATGCTTATCTTATCTGAACTAGTAAGCAAAGGCCAGAGGACAGGCTTACTCTGGTCACATGGTCCCGTGTTGCTGCAGGTGGGTCCCCTTCGCCCAGGAGCCTCCTGTCCTGGGTGAAATGCTGTGGCCTGGGGAACGTCCCAGACGAGACCACGAGGACGCTCCCTCATGACATCTATGCCTTCGGGACTCAGGAGAACCCGCAGGGGGAGAGGGACTGGGTGGAGCATCTGAGGACGGTGCTACGAGCTGCTACTCACATCGACTTCAAGCTGGTCAGGCTGTCTCTCTTCTCCTCCATCTTTCTTAATGGTCGGTCTGTCTCTCTTTCCTCCTCCCTCTTTCTTAATGGTCGGTCTGTCTCTCTCTCTTCTTCCCTCTTTCATAATAGTCAGTCCATTTCTCTGTCCTCCATCTTTCATAATGGTCAGTCTGTCTCTCTGTCCTCCTCTCTCTTTCATAATGGCCAATCTAGTCATGTGGAATCTATTCTGTCAAATCCCCTGAAAATTATTCACAAAATTAATCTTAAGTGATGCAAAGTTTTCATTTTTTCTTGAACAAATAAAAGTGTGGCTTATTTTCAAGATGCTTTTCCATCTGTGTCCTGCAGGTGGCAGTACAATCGTTGTGGAGCATCAGGCTGGCCGTGTTTGTGAGGCCGGAACATGAGAAGCGTGTCAGTCACGTGAGCGTGGCCAGTGTGAAGACAGGCCTTGGGAACACACTGGGTACGAGCTCCCACAGCCCAGAAAGAAACACGAACAATGTCATTCTCATGAATCCCCATTGCTGAGGTAGAGCCCTGAACTGCGTATCCATGGTTACAGGACACAAAGGAGCAGTGGGGGTGTCCTTCCTCTTCAGTGGCACATCTCTGGGCTTTGTCAATTGTCACCTGTCATCTGGGAGTGAGAAGACTGTGAGGTACTACACATACTGCTGGTATTTGTTGACACAGTATTTGCTATTTGCACAACTACACTAGAATTTTTATATTTCCGATTTGCTCTCCTTTGAGACATGCAGACATATACAAGTGACTGAGAAGCCTGGAGCCCAGGGTCAGCCTTTTATCCAGCCTTAAGCTTTTTTCAGGGGGTTTAGGGTCTTGCTCAAGGGCCCAGTAGCATTTACCAAACATCGGCTTTGACCCAGTGACCTTTTGATCACAGGTACAGAGGCTTAAGCCACGGAGCCACGCACCGTCCATGATGGTCTGTTTTTGGCATCATGTGGAGAGGGAGGACTCTCTCTGGCCACTGAGCCACCACAGCACTGACCTCTGAGCCGCCGCTTAGTCCGTTTTAACCCATCTTTCCAAAAGTTACAAACAATTATCTTAAAGGGAAGACATTTGACACATGATAGGTATGGTCCGTCAAAAGGTCCAGTCTTAATAAGCGACTCAGCGAGAAACATATTTAGAAGTTATTTAGAAGATGACACCAATGTGCAGAGGATGCAGCCTGATGGTTGCCTTAGCTGTAAGGTTGCTAGTTTGCGTCCCAGGCAGTGCCCCTCAGTTGTAGGGTTCAAGGCTCCTCCGGTCACACCATCTTTCCATCAGGAGGAACCAGAACTTCCAGGACATCCTGCGGCTCTTGTCCCTTGGCGACTGGCAGCCAAGTCCATTCGACGTCAGCCTTCGCTTCACACACCTCTTCTGGTGTGGAGACCTCAACTACCGGCTGGACCTGGAGGTTCAGGTGAGGGGGTGACTCATCTGAGACAGACCGCGGACCTGCTCAAAGACAGACGCATGGCCCACAAAGCAAAGGCTTTTTTTTAAACCTTTATCTTTCTATCAAGGTAAATCTGCTGGTAGTTTGAGAAGACCTGAGTACCTCAGCCCTTTAGTGATTGTGTTATGGTGTTATCAGCCCTGGCTTTGAGCCTTGACTCAGTTGAATTGATGTTTTCTTCAAGAATTTCTCTGTTGCATCAGAAAAGTTCATGTTATCCTATTTGAAGTTATGTTTGGGAACAGTGAACGTAGTTACACTGAGAATCAATGTGTCTGTGGTTATTCAAACCAAGATTTCTCAGCCACAAGTCCACGGCCCACTACTTTGCCAGGGAAATGAGGTTTGATTCATATCGGGACGCAAACCGGATCACCACTCTCGGGAATTGCCGGGCTGGTGAAATTTACTGGGAGGATCATGCTGGGTGGTATAAATGATATATTGACTTTCTCAGAAAATGAGAAACTTCTATAAATTCAATAATGAACATTGCTTGATAGCATACATCAGCCTATCAAGTCATAGAAACAAATGCAATTCTATCCATTTACATAGAAGTTTTTTACAGTTGATTGCTTTGGAGCATTTCTCAAATGACAATTAACATTTGCAAAGCAAGTGTAATCCCCACACCTCAGCAGAATGTCATTTATCATCGCTTCACACAAATTTCCAAATGTTTTAGTACATATATGCAAATGGTTTTGTACAATTGTCATAATTTGTCATAATTCTCAGTTGCTATAATCTTCTTGGTCAGAATAGATTATGTAGTTTCCCATTGTAATAATTTACACCCAAAACTACATATGTGTATGATCATTGTGTTTGTCACCCCATGCAAAACAGCTAGCCAAGCTGTCAAAATGATACAGTCCATCGATTGCTTACAGCATTGTTGTGTTTTTGGTTGCCAGAGTACATCATTTTGTTCTTGTGTCACTGTTTTGCTGTTTTTGTGTTATGCAGTGTGTTTTTTGTTTGTTATTGTAGTGTGTCTTGAGATCTGAGGAAGTTACATGTGCATGTGAGCGCTTTCTCTTGCCAGTGAACCTTGCGATGTTGAAACTAGTCTGTTTGACATGAGTAAGTACCAGTTTTCTAGAGAAAAATTATAAGTCTGTGACAATGAGAAAGTGGGAACCAACTAAAAACTACCATTCAGAATTGTGTAGCTCAGGAGCAGACTTACACCGACATACTGGCAATATATCTAAGCTTTTTCGTGGACATGGTTAAAATGCTTATTGTACTTTTCATTTTGGTGCTGCTGACTAATTCATTGGTGGAATTATTTATTTTTAGACATGAGTCAATTGTTTTTGGTAAGTTACAGGCCTTTGCAGCTAAACCATAGTGTTATGCTATATGCATTAATTGTTTTGAGAAATGCTGTTACGGTCTTGAGAATGTTAAGTATGTTTCATAAAATGAGCGAAGCCAATCGAGAAACTGTAAGAACTGACAACCTTCATCCAACAGACACACAGCAATGTTGACTGAGTTGACACACATGCTAATGTTTTCCTTTGGGTACAGGAGTCATGGGAGAGACTCACGCTCGCTCAGGGGAAACTTCAGGTGAAAAAATGACAGCTCAGCAGCCACAACATCCTTTTACAGTTTTCTTCGATTTGCTTTGGCACATTTCATGTAAACCTTTGGAAGTTTGTGTGAAACATTGAGAAATGCTGTTCTGCTGTGTACAAGTGACATTGTGGCATTGGGACTACACTAGTTAGTTTGAGTAATTTGAGAAATGCACCAAAGCAATCAAAAAGAAACTGTAAAAAGGAGATATTGTGGTTAATCAAGATAAAGACGTGGCTGATGTGGCCATACCTTTTGCAGTTCAAAGTACAGTATGCAACAAACTGCTGCGATGCACTGTAAATTCTGCGGAAACAGTGGAAATACTGCAAGTTTATTTCACCCCTTGAAGCACTGCCATCCAGTAGAACATACAGAATGCAAGTGCTTACAGTCACAGACACCAGCAAATAGGGTTTCTGCTTTCAATCTAAAGAAATACTCGACAAATCACCTCCCATATTGGCTTAAAACGGGTGATAGGATTTTATTTTTCATTATGGGATGATTGACAACTCTACCAGCAATGTCAAGCCAGATCCCAGGAACAAACAGCAAGGCAGTAGATTTCAGGTTGCAGTCTTTTCTCATGTTCTGAATTGTAAGGGAAGGGTTTAAGCCAAAATTAAGCCTTCATACCCCCAATGATCTGTTTTTGGTGTCATTGGGGGTTAACACTTGAATTATATAGTGATCATTATCGACATCAACTGGGAACCCCTCCCCCTGATCAGTGAAGTTCACTTTAATGCCCCCCCCCCCATATCTAAATTCTACTGAGGGCGACACACACTTCCCACCCCACCCCCAAGGGCAATGGCTGGATAAATAATGAGTAGTTGGGCCATGTGGTTGGAAGCTTGAGAAATCCTGATTTAGACCCAACATGGCTCTTTGTGGGGGTGCTTTGGGGTCCTGATCCCGTCTTCCCCTGCAGGACATCCTGAAGCACGTCTGCAAGCGGGAATTTGAGGCTCTGATGTGTGCTGATCAGCTGACCCGGGAGCGCCACAAGAGGAAGGTCTTCCTTCATTTCAGTAAGCGACCCTGTCTAACATCAGTTCCCTGCTCACATAAATGCGATTCCCTTGACCACTGCACCACCCACAGGCCAGAGCAGGCATGGTCGTCTCAGTTATTGTCCCTCCCCTCACTTCTTCTCCTCTCTAATCTCTCCAGCATTTTCTTCACAGATGAAGAGAAGATCTTGTTCCCTCCCACCTACCGGTACGAGCGCGGGTCCAGGGAATGCTACCAGTGGGAGAAGTACAAGACCTCGGGTGTAAGGCTGATGCTCATCATGGGGGTGGGATTCGGGGTGGAGCTTGGGGCAGGCCTTGGACTCTAGGTGGTGCCTTGGAGCCAACGGCTGCCACACCCACCTAGGCTGAAAGCTTCAGCAGGTCCCAGCAAGACGGTCTTTTTTTAGGGGAGCTGCAGGCTCTGTTCGGTCCAAAAATACCCTTACTTTTCCAGTTCTATTTATATATGTGGCTGTTAGTGGGATCGGTGAAGCTTGTGGGTTTATAGGGCCTCTGTCATCTACCAGAACTCACTGAATAACAGTGCCAGGTGCTGAGGGACTTGTAAAAATGCACAGTCATGTATGCTCGCCTGAATTTGTAGCCTTTCTGAGTATGTGTGAGCATATCTGCGTGTTCGCCTGTGTACAAACAACCACACCTCACACCTTATGAATTACTGCTACGTTTCTGCATGTTTCTCATGTTCTTCATATTCTTATGTATTTATGTACATTTCTATCTTTAGTGAAGCAGGCCAGCTCCTTTGCTCCCTTATATAATGGCCTCTTCTGCCACTTGACAGACAGAGAAAGTTAGATAGGCAGATAGACACAGAGATAGACAGATAGGCAAAGATAGACAGACAGACAAAGTTAGACAGACACAGAGATACAGATGCAAATAAATGGACATGAACACACACATTAATAGACAGTTGCAATAAAAAATGTGAGAGTAACAGATATATAAAGTGCATATGCCATGGAAATAAAGGTTATGTTTACTAGCAGTAAAAGTGCAAAGTTTTGCTGTTGTTCCCTTCGCTCCTCCCAGCACTAACTCCTGTGCACACAGGTTCGCGTCAACGTGCCTTCCTGGTGTGACCGCGTGCTCTGGAAGTCCTACCCGCAGACACACCTAGTCTGCACTGCTTATGGTGGGTCAAGGGTCGGGTTGTGGGGTCAGGGGTGATGGATTGGAGGATGGTGGTCCGGTTGGCCACATACCGTGGGGTTCAGCCTGTTATCTGATCCTCCATCTCTGTTTTTTCCCACTCCGTTTTTTAACTTTTAATTCTTCACTTATCTGCTGCAGATTTGCTGGGATTAAATAATGTCTGAGCTGGCCGGCTGTGCAGGGCGGGGGCACTGGGCCTGATTCTCACACAGTGACTCACCCCGAGCTGCAGTTCCGCTCTGCACGGCCCCGCTGTGTCTTTCACACACTGCCTGCGGGAGGCGTGTCAGTAATGCAAAACTAGTGAAAGTGAAGGAGTTTTGGTTGGAGGCCAATGGCACATAAAGCCTGTTTACTCATGAGCTTCCATGTCTGTAACTTTTTATAAGTGTCTCTGTCTGTGACTGATTGTGACCGTCTGTGATGACCTATGACTGTCTGTAATTATTTGTAACTGTCTGTGACTATCTATGACTGTGACTGTTTATAACTGTTCATGACTCTCTCTGAATATCACTATCTATGTCTGTGACTGTCCATGATTGTCTGTGGCTGTCTGTAATTGTTTGTAACTGTTTGTGATCATCTGTGACTGTTATTGTAATTGTTTGTAGCTGTCTATGACTGTCTGTAACTGTAACTGTCTATAACTTTGGCTGTCTGTGGTTGTCTGTGACTGTCTGTGACTGTCCACTGGGGTTGTCTCGCTCTGTTTAGGCTGCACAGATGATATCACAACCAGCGACCATTCCCCTGTCTTTGCCACATTCCAGGTTGGGGTGGCATCACCAATCATCTCAAAACCAGGTGAGGCCACCTGTGATTTACCTGACTGCGGTTGGTCACTCACAACTAGGGTGACCACCTAATCCATGTCAGGAGGGACACTATGAGCTACAACAGGATTTGTAAACCACCATTTCATACATTTCAATTAAAAGGAGCAGGATTTCACTTAAGCACTGGGTTCTTGCCGTGTGCTGATTGGTCAGTCTCCTATAATCATGCATATGTGTCAGTAATGTTAATGCGAAACAGCTGGATGAGTCTTTCAATCTAGGAACTAACCAAACATTTTAGCAGAGCACAGAACCCTTTCAGCTTTAAAGTAGTTCGTAAAAGCTGAAGTAGCTCATAGTGTCCCTCCTGACATGGATTAGGTGGTCACCCTACTCACAACCATGCCCATACCTACCATTGAGGACACAAAGGTCAAGTCCTCAGTATTTTATCTGCAACTCCAATAACCACAGTGCATTATGGGGCACACCTAGGGTGGATAACACTTTTGACTTGCTCACAACACATCTTTCTTCACAATGTTCTTGCATGTTTACATACCTTATTCTGTCCTGTTACTCACACTTATTCCCAACATCTGAGCAATGGTCAAAGGTCAAAGTTCATACAGCCTATGTGTTTTTAATGTGGGGGTTTCTGCTGAAAACAGACACAGGGCCAAGTGAGAGGGCATATATAGAGCTGGAGGGCGTGGAGGTCATCGTCAAGACAGCCAGCAAGGCCAAATTCTCCTTGGAGTTTCACTCCAACTGCCTGGAAGGTGCTCTGACACTCTTTCTGATCTCTGTTTAGACTTAATTCTCGCCAAACATTCAGTTTTAAAGTTGAGTCTTTGCCAACATTGCCAAGTTGAATCATTGGACTAGTGTCTCTCCACAGAATTCCGGCGTTCCAGCGAGAATGATTCCCAGATCTGTGAAGTACCGGGCTTCCTCAAACTGGGCTGGTCTTCCAGACAGCTGCCAAAGGTTTTTGGTTATATCACAATAGATCTTCAATGCTAACTATGAATTTTGTGTTGTCTGAAGGATAGAAATGGCATGATATGTTTACCTCCATCTTATTTATTATTTCCTTCTCTTTCTCTCTCTCTCCATCAGCTCTTTCCTGTCATCTCAGACATGGAGCATCTTCAGGACCAGCACCTGCTATTGTCGGTTAAGTCATGTGACGGTCTCGAATCCTATGGTTAGTCTCCACTTCCTCCAGCTCCTGCTGTCTGATTCTTGTGCTTCATTGGGGATGTGGATTCTCTGTGGGGTTCTTGATTGTCTAACCCCTATCGCATGGCTTTTCCTGCAGGTGAATGCTGTGTAGCCCTCCGAAGCCTCCTGAGCTCTACAGCGGAGGCGTTTGAGACGTTCCTGACCCACCGTGGTGAGGAGATGGGCTCCCTTCGGGGCAGACTACGAGTCCATGTGCCCAAGGACCGGCGACAGAGGCGGGAACGGACCTACGGTGGGCAAACCCTCCTTCTCGCGTTCTTGTAAGCGTTGTCTAGTTCCTCGCCAAGTTCCTCAAGATTTCCTGTTCTACTTCCCCTTTGGCGGACCGCAAGCAGATGCATCCTGAGCTGCTTCCAGGTCATACGCTAAGGGCATCTCTTTAGCTGCCTAGTGGCACCACGCAGATGGTAAGCAGGCAGCATTGCGGAGTCCTGAGAAAATTCTGCCTGAGAGCCGGTGTCATGCCTGTCATTTGCAGAGTGGTTCTGCTTTGAGAAAGACGAGAGCAGCTTGGCTAGAGGTAGCCCATCCCACCCAGTGACTGGTGGCCCTTCTGCACGGTGAGAATACCATGCTTTAAGGATTGGTAAACATAACAGTCATATCCACGGCACATGCATTTTATTGATCTGTTATTGCCTTGATCAGCCACAGACTGCATCATCATGTAGTTTGACACTGTCTTGAATTGCCTTTAGATTTTCGTTATTGAATGAAGCAGAATGACTAAGCATTTCAATAAAGTTCTTGAGTTTTGAATCCTTTCTACTAATAACTCAGCTAACGGTTGTGATGATGTTAGCTCAGCCACTAAAGGCTGCATTTAGCCTCATCTGGCCTCCTTCAGGTCCCCAGCTGGACCATCTACACTAGTGCCAGCTCAGCCTGCCCAGGCTCCTTCGGCATCAGTGCCAAGCAGCTACACCAACCCTGCATACTTCATCTTTGAGGGGATGCCCATTCAGCGTTTCGCGACGGAGGACCCCACCCCGAAGCGGGACCCCCGGGTGGTATGGGCCAGGGACTCTGTCTTGCAGCTTCCCAAGGTGTCCCCGAACCAAAGTCAGCAGGGGAAGTCCACCCGCAGGTCTGACTTTACGGAGATCGAAATTCCAGGATGCCTTCCCCACTGTCGGCCGTCTGGGGAGGCTCCGTCCTCCTACCAGCTTTTTCCAGCCCAGGACAGGGGGTCGGGGAACCCCTCCTCAAGGCTGTCTCTGAACAGCACTCCACATTCCCCAGAACGCTTCCCCTACAGGGATGATGTGGTATTGCAGCCGCGGTCCCCTGCTGTACAAAGGAACTTGTACTGGAACCGTTCAGCTGTGGCGAGGGAAATGCCCTGGGCATACAGGAATCTGCCCCGGAAAACCAGCCCCCGGCTGAGCCTGGATCCCCCATCTGGCATGCATAAGACTCCAGCACTCTACCCCTATTCCTCCACCAGGGTGCCCCACAGGGAAGCGGCATCCTGGGCGGTCGGACCCCAGCCAGACCCCCCAGGGGACCACTCTCTGACAGCCTTGCAGATCGCCAAGTCACTCAGTGAGATGGACTTCCTGCCTGTAGACCACAAAATCCCCACAGCCATTCCTAGAGCCCAGCAGAGGAATCTGGGCTACGAGCTCAGCACTGTTTCAGAGAAAGAGGTTGGTAGATCATAGACTAACATGCTGTAGTTCCAATGCGTCTGAAAAATTATGATCTTAAAGTAGGCCTGTCGTCAAGGATTTTTATTGTAGCTATTTATCACCAACCTGTCTGCAGGCACCGGTACTGCGTGTTGCTCCGGGATCCGTGTGGGAGCTTCTGAGCAGCCTGGGGCTTCAGCGCTACACCCTGGGGCTCAGTCTCAATGGCTGGGATGACCTGCTTTACTTTAGGTGAGGCAGGAGAGAGCATATGGAGTAACAGGTTCCACCCACTGACTTTAAATATCAAATTTTCTGCCATCGCTTGTTCATGTATGAGAAGCTATTTATTTGAATGCTTTCTTTTCTGTATAAAGCAGACCTTGGGTCCCCACAGCTAATGGAGGTTCTAGGGCATTTCAACTGGGGGGCACAGACTGGGGCCAGGTGATCTGTTAGGGGGGCCAGATGCATTTGACCATAAGTATTACTTAGAAGTATTACTTACACTAGATTACCAACATTAAGAAGCAAAAGACAATTCTGAAAACCAATAAGTTATTTATGCAATGCTTTGCAGTCACATTTAGCAATTTTACAAATATGTAACTCACTCTGACTTCTGGTTTAGACTGTTTTGCTACTTGGCAGTCCCCAAACTTTAGCCCACATATATAAATGTAAATAATAGTAATAATAATAATACATTTCAGACCCAAGTAGCATGCATATTTAGGGGGGCCATGGGATGGTTGTGGATGTTGTCTCAGTGGCATCGGCCCTCCCAGGCCCCCCCAGAACCACCCCTGGCCACAGTTATAGCAAGTAACACTTTCCCTATTTCTCAGTGAGATCACAGAGCAGGACCTGCGGGCAGCTGGAGTGACCAACCCTGCTCACCGCAGACGGATCCTGGAGAACCTGCCCAGGATCTGGGAATGAGGACCAGGCTGCTGGGTCTAGCGGTCGGCTCCCAGGCCAGGTCAGCAGCCTCAATCACAGAGGGTCTCGCAAGCCTCTCCACAGGTCATGTGATCCCACAGCAGGCCGGAGTGTGACGGCAGCGACTTCTGACTGCATCCATGAAAAGAGCTGAAAAGCAGAAAAATGGCAGCGACGTTCCTGGTGATACATTCCCGTGTTCTTGTTTCCAGACAATTAAAGAACCCTCCTGAAACCATCTTCGTTTCTAAAATAAAGTGCTGTGCCGTCGGGTTTAGGACGCCACTCACCCGTCTGCCTATGGGAACCAATACTGTTTACAGCTGAATGGGTTTGCTTGGTCAATACTGACATGGCACTTGGCGAGTGATTTGGCGTTAACTGTTTGTAAAAGGTACGTCTTGTTGTTTTTCAAGCATAAATTACAATGTGACTTTCTGCATTCCCTGTTCCAATTCTTTCATTCACCCATGTAAGGCTTATTTGCTGAAGATAGTCTGTCTTTATATGAGACAGACAGCACTTTGATGGCTATATTTTAGGATGGTTTTTTTAAATTAAAGATACACATCAAAGTCATGCTGCTATTTGTTCACAGTCCACTGAGATAAGAGCGGGATTGTAAAATACTGATCAGATTCACTGCAAGCACCGCATCTGATTTTACATGGACGCTCTGCGCAGACAGCAGTGATGATGGCTACGCTCCTTGTAGTGGAGTCCCAGCTGGGTGTGAGATTCTTACATCGATGAGCCTAGTGCTGGACCACAATGTGTATTTTCAAGTCAATTTGAAAGCAGTAGTAAAGCTCACTTATGCAACATTAGCTCCTTATATGCTGTAGACAAACCACATTCACACGCAGAGCGTCACACTCGCTGTGCTGGGTGTCTGCTGTGGTTAAGGATGCTCAATCCAAGCCCCTGAGGGGGAAAGCGATCCAGCACCTTGCTTTGAAAATTTATGTTTGCTTCTTCTCACTGAGCACCGCACCTACTTCCCAAGCCATAAAAAGATATTTATTCTGCACACTGGTCTATACCTTGCAGGCTGAGCTCACAGTTTAAAGCCAACAGAAGCCAAGCCAGCCCATGAAGTGTTGTGAAATTCCTGCTACTTGTCGTTTCACATTCACTTCTCCTGGATGGACACTTCAATTTCTCCTTCTCCTAAGCTTGCTTACTATAAGCACTTTTCATGGTTCACCCTGGGGGTGAGCGGGTGTTTGTTGGTTTTTGTTCCCTATTCCCTTCGGGCCAGCAAGGTTGGACTTCCCCACCCCTGTGGTCTCAAACTTACAGCAAACCACCCGCTTCCTTTTGGTAAAAGCCCCTTTGTTTTCGCATGAGACTCGTTGTGATTATGTCGTTCATTGTTTCCCAAAGACTTTATGCACTCCCTAATAAAAGAAGGCCTTGGGTATTTTTACACAGAACAAACATAAGGTCTCCCACATCCCATGCTGAGCCAGACAATAATCATTCCTTTAATCCTTCTGTCCATCAACCTACCAATCCTAGACCCTGGCAGCCAGTATCAGTTTTCTAAATGTGTGATAGACATTGGAAGCGCCATGGTGTTCCATAGGACCAAAGTCCACCACCCAAGCATCCATTTCCTGTGCTTTTTGGTTTTTTGCGTGTGATGTTTTCATTCCAATCAACCCTGCGTGAACATTCTCCATGCATCGGTTAAGACCTCAGTGACCACCCAACGGGGGGAATTTTTGTGGAAGCTAGAAACAGAAATACTGAGCTGCCCGACGATACTGCCGTCATACAGCACCATCATACTGCGGTATCTGGGTTAGACATCACCAGCTCTGTATCTGGAAATGATGTTGAAACGTTTCACTCAGAAATGACCAATTTTTGCATATGAAACCTATATTAGCAATAATCCTGATCCTTCACCTGCTGAAATTACACTGCAGAACCTTCAAATGACTGTTCTCTGTTATGTGCGCGTGTGTGTGTGTATGTGTGTGCATGTGTGTGTATGGGTGTGCGTGTGCGGTTTGGCTAAGGCTTCTGTATAAATTGTAGCGTGAGATACTTCCTGGTTAGTTATTAAAATGTGACGAAACTTGGTTTGGCGGGTGAGCTTTCGGTTATTCACTCCTGGATCCCGCCCAACCAATGCAGACCAAATACCCACATGATAGAAAGATGCAAGATTCAAAGGTTTTATTGCTATTGTGTTACACAGAACGAGATTAGGATGTTAACTTCCAAACTCCATGCAATGCAAATAGGAAGTAACATAAACAATATACAGAAGAAGTAAACTACATATTACAAATAAACATATATTGAAATAGTCAAACTATAAAAGAGATAAATAATAAAGAGACATACAGTAACAATAACATTGATGTAAAGTGCAGGAGTGACAAGTGATTATTACACATACTTGTATATTGCACATTGAATAATCATTTTTGTATAAGCAATACAATAAGGAATTGGGACATAAGTCACTTTTTGCATATTTTGTGGAAAACTCTTTACTGCTTCTCAGAAATCAGTGATCAAAACTTCATGTTAAACATCCCTCCTAATTCCTCGTATCAAGGCAATAGATTTTGTTACACAAGTGCCTTTTGCTCACCCAATGGTCTAATTCTCTCTGATTAAACAGAGAGAACCTTGATGGCTGGAGCCACTGACTTGTTACGAAACACAGGACAGTTACGGGCCAATCAGCACCCCCACCCCCCACCCTGAGATCCCACTCACATTCCATGTCTGTGAGTCACAGGCTGACCTCTGGGTATATCTGCAGCTTACGGTGGGGGGGAGGGGGGCATTGTGGGAAAGGGGCCCTCAACCTCTCAGGTCACTTGGGGTTTGGAGAAGCCGCATGCTCACCTCACACCTCTCAGAGGCGAACTTCTTTCCGTGTATAAACCTGAACAGATTTTTGTTCTATTGGATAGTGTTGGAGTCTGAACTCCGCCGGGTCCGTTGATGAGAAGAGATTCACTGCACAGTCGAGGAGTAGTTGCAAGTCACCAGTTTATTCTGATTAATCAGGGAGCAACGATCTGACACACATTCAGCATGTACAGGAAGATGCTTGAACCATAGGTGTCGGCTCTAGGTCTTTATAGGCCTTTTGGGGTGTGGCCCCCCTTTTCTGTACTTTTCTATCTACGTGACTACCACATATTTTGACATTTGCTCTAGTTAGCCAGTGAGTACATGTCTCCCCCCCCTTTTCCTATGTTGTACAAGAATTAGAAAAAGTATTAGTTCGACCTGTTCTCTGGCGCAGGTCATCTCGCTATCAATTCCTGATTCCTCCCAACTTCATGAAGTAAGATCACCCCATCCTGCAAGCCCAGTATCAGTTCCCCTGTCCAGTGTCTGCATTATATTCAACACTGTGTTATTAGACATTAGTAAATTAGTATTGGCATTATTGTATAATTAACCCCTCAATTTCATCATGCCATGCTTTAAGCTATATTCTCCTTTTCCTCTATTCATTGTATGTTCTTTATAATTCTATTGAATCCCATAATTGTTAGTAGTCAGATTTTGGTTCATTAGAGAAATGCAGAAAAATAATCATTAAAGCTACTCAGAGACGAATTTCATGCAACGCAGCACACAGTTGTCTTGCAACTCATAACAGACCTATTTCTGAAACGTCACAAAAACCCGAAAGCAGAAGCTGTCTCTGGGAAACCAAACTTTGGATGTGTCTTTTATACAGACAGAAGCTCAGCTGTTCATTGCATCAGTTATAGTGATAAGCTGTTTCAGCATGAAAATCCACAGTCCCTAAAATGTCTCATGATATCAATCTCCTCTCATACATTATATGGCACAAAGGGTAGAGTATTGCCTCTGTTGTCTGATGATGGATGTTTGTCATTTTCCCATAATGCCATGGGGCCTGTCTCATTTTTTCCTGCTGCCACAATCATGTGTATTGTACATTGTTTTACTCTCAAATCCAGCAAACTGCTACCTTCACACACATACGTCAATCCTCTTTTTGGATCTTACCCGCTGTTCATTGTGTCTATCGTGCAGCTTGTGTTCTGTAATCACAGAATACCCTCCCACAGTTTGGATTTCACCTTCACAAAGGGTGCAGCGCCCCACCTGCAGCTGAGATTCCCAGCGCGGTCATGTGACCCCACATTCCCACACATACTGGTGGAGGAGATCATGCCTCATCGAAATCATCCCCAACCAGAAGCCGTGGGTGGACAAAACAAGGATGGCAAAAGATGAGACAGGTAATGGTGGAACGTCGTTTCCAGCAATCCGACTTGAAACATGTGGCGGAGTTTTTGGTCCATTGTGGATTTCAAAGGGCATCCCAATGCTATAGCTAATGTGACCACAGAGTTAGCGAACAAACTGGACACCTTTTATGCTTAGTGATACCACTATCGATAAGCAAACCAGATACATCGACCATCCAAATGACTTCCTGCCGTTTGTTACCCAACACTCTGGACTCCCTTCCATTTGCTTATCTTTGAAACACACCAGCAGAAAATGCAACATCCCTCATTCTGCACACTGCACTTGGATAACAGGAAGGAGAACTATGTGCCGTTCCTGTTTATCGATTACAGCTCTGCTTTTAACAGAAGCTCATCAGCAAGCTCAGAGACTTTGGCTTGACCACCAACCTATGCCACTGGGCCCTGGACTTTTTGATCAGCAGACCCTAGGTCCCTATTATTCAAATCATGGTCCTCGAGGTCCGAGCACTGCTGGTTTTCCAGTCTTTCTTTACCTGTGAGCCGGGTATGAAGCCTCTGACCAATCAGAATCAGTAATTATTAAACTAACTACCCGGGAGAACTGAAAACAAGGCCTGGATTTAGAATCGAGGTCCAGATTTGAAGAACCCTGCCCTAGGTTGTTCAAGTGGCGGGACACACATCATCAAACCTCACTCTCAACACAGGAATCACTGCATCCTCACCTCATTTATCTCTGTGTGGTACCCATTATCCACTGCTGCAATGAAACATAGGCTGGAATGTGTCGTGCAAACAATCAGGAGTAGGGTTACCATATTTGGTGAGAAGAAAAAGAGGATGTGTCAGGGAATCAGAATATTAAGGAGTTTTCATGTTCACTGACCAATCAGGTAGCTCTTCTCTCATGAATTTTAATGAGACTTTGTGTTCTTCGGCCAATCAGGTTGAGCTTCTCTTGTGAATATTAATGAGGTTTCCCTAACCACCACGTAAAATGGAAATTCGCAACCGGGGAAACCGGACATGTGGTAACCCTACACTTAACTCTCGTTTTACAATCTGCACACAATTGACACAATATATGTGTACACAAGTCTTTTTTCAACAAAAGTTATGAAACGGTAAGCCACGCTTCATATGAAAGCAAAAGTAAAGTGGCTTCTGGAAGTCCCAGTGGTTTCTGGAAGTTGACATCACTCGTCAGCAGCGTGACACGCAGGCATATCGTTTAACTTTTAAAGTAAATGTGTACAGGAGCCTTGCAAACATTGTGTGTTGATACTGAGTCACTGCCATATATTGAAAATTGGTACCTTTTCCTTCCCTTGCCACTCCACTGAAGTCATACAGGTTGCAGCGCTAAACCCGTCGATTTTTGAAAAGCCGCCCAGATGTCCGGACAGGGACCAGAAAGAGGACGTGTCTGGGGAAACCTGGACGTATGGTTACAGTAGCCTGGAGGCTCACAGGCCAGAGCTGGTGCCTGTGAGTGGGACCCAGGAAGCAGGCCAGCAGGAATGTGTCGGACCCGCGCCACTCGGCCCACTTCCCCTTTAGCCGGCTCCTCTCTGGCCGCAGGTTCTGCTCAGTCAGCACCAGGACCTCCAGGCACCTTAACAGCCTTTTTCCAAAGGCCATAAACCTTCTTAATAATCTTTCATTGATACCACAATGGACTGGGTTACATTCACACCATTAACCCCATTTTTCTGAGCTATTTATGCCATTTTTCTATTTATTGTTATTGCTGTTCTGTTATTGTTTTTTTTTTTTCCTTTTGATGACCTATTATAACCTTTGTAATTCTTAATCTCATTTTTTACTGTGCTGTATCACCAGGTCAAATTCCTGTGTACTCTGTACATTTGGGGAGTAAACAGATTCTGATTCTGATTCTGTTTTTCTTACTCATACTTGTCTTGTTAAACTGTTTTGCTTTTCTCGTTGTTTTACATATTTGGTCGAGCACACTGTATGTCACAAATAAAAACTTGGAACTTGATCCTGAAACATGCTGAGCAGGTCAGACCAGACCCAGACTAGGCCACACGCTCTCACTTTTTCCTGGAAATCCTCAGGCTTCCACCAACCAACTGGGAGACATAATGCTTCAAGCAGCTCCTGGCTTTTGCCCAGTGGCACTATTATAAGGTGCCCTAACCCCCCTCAACTTCTCAAACCAAAGGGGCAATGATTATATTTTCCTCTGTATCTCCAACCCCCTACCATGTTGTTTAGCATGAGTCCAGCAGCCCCGCAGAGGTCACCTTCAAAGATTGAGTCTTTTGCATGATGAAGGCATCTGTGCAATTCGATGATCTGCAGAGTTGTGTCGTATTGAGCTTGAGGTCCTGGTAGAGCCTCCCTTGGTGACCAGATCAGCTCCATGAAAGACCTCCATGAAAGGTAGTGATACAGAGCAGAGTATCAAACCCAGACCGGGGACATCAGAATGCACCCAGGAGCCTGGTGTGGGGTGGCGTTTCCTGGCAAGCCCCAGCTATACACTGTCAGAAGAAAGGGTAAGTAAGTAAATAAAATTTGCTTATAAAGCACTTTTCACAGACACACAACACAAAGTGCTGTAAAAAAAAATGTAACAAAAAAAAAAAACATACCAAACGCAATATGAAAAAACATGAGTAATAGAAACACTTAAAAATATATTAGAGAATAAAGCCCAAGCAGTGGTAACTCAGCTCTGATCAAAGGCCTTCTTTAACAAGAAAGTCTTAAGATGTATTTTAAAAGAGTCAACAGAGCGCAAAGCTAGAGGAATAGCGTTCCAGAGTCTAGGTGCAGCTGGCTGAAAAGCACGATCCCCACGTGTCTTAAGTCGTGAGCGGGGGACGACTAGAAGGTCTTGCTGACTAGACCTAAGAGCCCAGCTGGCTGTGTGGCATTGGAGTAGACTAGCAATATACTTAGGAGCTTGACCATGCAGCCCTCTATAAGTGAGAACCAGGATTTTAAAACAAACTCTAAAAAGAACTGGCAGCCAATGCAGAGAATACAAAACTGGAGTGATATGTGCTCTCGGGTCAGACTGTGTTAAAAGCCTAGCAGCAGCGTTTTAACTAACTGCTGAGAGAAAAGAGAGATTTTTTCAGACCTGAATACAGAACATTACAATAATCTAGACGTGAAGAAATAAAAGCATGCACTGGCATCTCCAATTCTGATTTTGAAACCACTGACCTCAGTTTAGAAAGATTTGTCAAATGATAAAAAGAAGAGCGACTGACAGACTTTATATGTGAATCAAGGCTTAATAACTGATCAAAAACAACCCCCAATTTGTGCCTTTGCTTGTACCCTCAAGGGTCTGCCAATTGTACCCTATAGCTGTAGGTATTTGTACCTTTTAAAATACATAAATGAACTATGAGGAACATTTTTGTAACATTGGGGTGTATTCATGTTGTTTTTTACCTTAGAGTCCATTTCTGTACCTTACATTAGACTAAAAGGTACAAATACCTATAGTTAAGGTAGTATTGGCAGATCCATGAGGATACAACCCCAGTGACAAGTAAAAGTACAAACTGGTACCCTTTTTTCTGACAGTATATAGCTGCCCATGTAACCCTGCCAGGTTTAAAAGGTTATGTTGATCTTTTCAGTTTTATTTGCCAGTATCCAGCAGGTTTTCCATCCTACCGGGTCTCTGATGAACCACAGCTGACCTCAGACAGAGATCATCAGGTAGGATGGAAAACCGATTGCATACCGACACTCCAGGATCAGGGCTGCATACCAGCGCTCCATAATGTGAAAGGAGGCGGTCAAGCACACCATCATTTGGATGGAAAACGAAAGAGGGGTGCAAGCTTATCCATTTAAAGAAAGTTTAATTGTATTTTAGGGATTTATAGACAGACAGACAGACAGACAGATAGATAGATAGATATCAAGGAAATTGCAGGTTTACAGGATCACAACACACATTAGACAGTAAAAATGACATTTACACATTAATAGACTATAACGATAAATAACATATCCGTGTATTTACAACCATCAAATGATGTCTGAGCTGAATTATATCATTTGGCCAGGGGAGCATTCAATGACATTCGTAGACAAATTCTAAATAAATCTGCCGGAACATGCTGCCAGCTCCCCGAAACCAGCACACGTGAGAAGCCGGAAGGCGCGGAGGGCGGGGCGCCCGGGAGGGGTAGCGCTTACGCAGAGTCTGCTATCTCACACCGGGACAACTGCGGAGAGCGCCGGCCGACTGGGAGTCACTGCATGGGGTAACAGTTGCACTTTTATTATCTATTCTGGAAAAAAAGTCGTTATTAGGGCAATATATCTAAATTTTCCTCAAGAAGTTAAGAAGTCCCTGTAATACGGCGAAATTGATAAAGTTCTTGAATTCGTTGCTTTAGTAATCGTAACGCATTTATTTTTTATTACTATTATTATTATTCGCGTTGTTTCAATTTTTTGTGCGCCTCGAAAACGACACAAGTCAGTACAAGGTGAAAAAAACTATTCGGACTAATAGAGGAAAGCTACGAGGTGTTTTATTTCTCTATATGTAATACATGTTTACGGCATCATAGGAACTGTTTGACTCCTTGAATCTAATTATTTGTGCTCCGCGTATTAAAAAACTCGCTGTAGAACATTGTACTTTCTTACCGGGATCTGTCCTGCACATATATACAGACATTGGGAAATCATTGACCAGCACCAGCCAGTGGACAGCGTTGTCCCACGGCAGTAGTACGGACTTGTTGGGAAGTTGAGGAAAAGCGTAATAGCACGGCTGTTCGTGATTCAGTGCAGAAACGAATTTCAAATGACAGAAGACACGTATTCCCTGTTAAATAACGTAACATGCATACATAGGGATTTTTTAACATCATACCAACTGACGGAAAGTTTCATCATAGCCGATGTTCCCGTTACTGTTGTTTTCCTGCTTGGAAACTGAGCAGTTTGTATTGATAATACAGTCCATATGTGCATGTTCTGGGAAAGATCGTTCTTTGCTGTTGCCGTGTGGCGTCTGTAGACTGCAGGGGCCATGTAAGGGGGTAGGACAATTCCAAGGACCCCTGAGCGACAGGGGTGACATAATTGGATTGGTCTGGGTTGGGGGCTCAATATGATATGCCTTCATGGGGCCCAAATCTGTAGTGACATGCTTGGTACTTTGTCCTACCAGAACCCCCCCCCCCATCTGCTCTACGAGACTGTCCTGGTAAAGAGGAGCTTCATCAGTGGAGGTCTCCTTTCTTTCCAGGTCATTCATTTCGGCTGCCCTTAGAGTTTAAGACACAACCATAGGCTCAGCCTGCTAAGTTAGAGGTTATTCATGGATACTCATTGTTACAGTGTTGGCTTTATACTTTTTTATGTTTGCACATTTGTATGTTGTAATTATTCACATCTTCATATTTTATTTATATGCACAAAGTTCATTTTATGTACATGAACATCGGTACATTTTATTTATTTACATCCTTTACATATTATATACACATTGGTATGTTTAATGATTGATTTGTACCTTTATTTATACCCTTATTTATTCTGCTGCCTTTCCTCGGTCTGTCTGTTTTTACCATCTGAATCTGCGCCGCTGTAACATCTTCATTGGCCTCTTGGCACCCATCAAGTACCGTCTCCCCTAATCTTTGGCCTCATGTGTCTCACAGACCATCTGTGAGCGGCACGCTGTCCAGCCCCAGAAAACGACCACCATGCTGGCCGAGCCGCCCCAGGGGAATCACTCCTATCCGGAGGCCAACGAAAGCTGCCGCTTTGACGAGGAGTTCAAGTACATCCTCCTGCCCGTCTCCTACAGCCTGGTGTTCATCATTGGGCTGGCGCTCAACTCGGTGGCCCTGTGGATGTTCCTGTTCCGGATGCGGCCGTGGAGCGCCAGCGCCGTCTACATGTTCCACCTGGCACTGTCCGACACGCTTTACGTGCTTTCCCTGCCCACGCTCATCTACTATTATGCCAACCGCAGTCACTGGCCCTTTGGGGTGGGCCTCTGCAAAGCTGTGCGTTTCCTGTTCTACGTAAACCTCTATTGCAGCATCCTGTTCCTCACCTGTATCAGCGTCCACCGCTACCTGGGCATATGCCACCCCATCCGCAGCCGTGCCGTGCTGAAGCCACGCCACGCCCACTTGACATGCGGCCTGGTGTGGACGGTCGTAACCATCTGCCTCGTGCCCAACCTCATCTTTGTCACCACCAGTGTCCGGGACAACGACACTCTGTGCCACGACACGACTCTGCCAGAGGACTTTGAGCAGTACGTGAACTACTGCTCGGCCGTCATGGTCCTGCTCTTTGGCATCCCCTTTCTGGTCATCATGGTATGCTACTGCCTGATGGCGTGGGCACTCTGCCAGCCCAGGCGCGGCCTGTCCTCCAACCAGAAGGGGGCAGCCTCACACATGAAATCCATTAAACTGATCGTGGTGGTACTGGTGGTGTTCGCCATATGCTTTGTGCCCTTCCACATTACGCGGACGCTTTACTACACGTACCGGGTGCTGAACGCGCAGTGTGCCATGCTTAACATCGTCAACTTCGCCTACAAGATCACCCGGCCACTAGCGAGCATCAACAGCTGCATTGACCCCATCCTGTACTTCCTGGCTGGAGATCATTACCGCTCCAAGCTACTGCAGGCCATCAACTGGCGGAGGCAGGCAACCAAGCGTTCCACCAACGGTACCCTGCCCCAGCCAGCCATTAACAATAACATCGCCCTCAGCCAAACAAACCCATACTTCAGAGCTGCAGAGGACCACTGAGCAGTAGAGCTGGTTGACGCATGCGGCACCATGACGCTGGGAAGATCTCAGATCTCTCAATCCACATATTTCCAACATTCCCTGATCTGGGGGGGGGGGTTAAATGCCTGACAATGCCATGTGCTCATGGTGCTCCTTTGCCAAGTGAGTCAGGAAAAGGCAGAATCCACGAATGAGGCACCAAGGAAGCCAACCCTCCCAGGAGGCCCTCCCTGGACCATGCTGAATCATAGAATGTGTTCTGAGTGTTTCTGAGGAGCAGTGTGTCACCCATGATGAGGAATCAAACGTCTCACCTCCATGTGTGAGAGGAACATGTCCTAGGCTCTGCAGAAATGTGATCTATTTTTCTAACGTTCTTCTGGCGGTGAAGGCGTTAAGCTGAATTTCTTGGCCTAATGCAGACCGACAAAACAGACTCTGCAGCTTGGAGACACAGCCTGTTTATCCCGTGCTGAGGAGGAGGCTGTTTACAGGATGCTCTGTGATTTTCATTTATGATATGGTGTAGGAGTCAGTGAAGAACGCAGTGTAGGAAACGTGATAGACGCAGTATAGGACAAGTGATGGACAAACTGTAGGATGTGGTAATGGACACAGTGTAGGACATAGTGCGGGGGCGGGGCCTGCTTTATTTTTCCAGTTCCATTGAGGCTTATTTCATGCTCACGTCCAGCTGTTTCCTGTGCAGGAGTCACACAGCTGTTTCTATCTAGAAATGTGGGATGTCTGGGGGGACCCTGAAAGGATTATATTTCGGAGACAGAGCCGACCAAGTAGGAGATGACTGATATAAAACTTAGCACAACTGCTTTGAAACAGAGGGAGACTCTTCTGCATTGGCCGTGTCAGATCATATGATACATGATCACATGATCAGTGCCAAGTAACAGTAGCTGTGTTGGGCTGGATGCAGAGAGATGGCACAGTGGTGGGCGGAACACTGGTGGGGGGTGGTCAGACAAGATCTCCACTCTCCCACATCCCATATTATTACTCTCTATGGAAGTGTATATTAGCTTCTATGGAAGTTCATGTAAAGAACCAGGACCCTAAACTGGCAGCCTTCAGAGCTGACGTCCACTCTAGCCACCATACTCGGTGGCTGATGATGGTTCTGACATTCTCATCCCTTCTCTGTCCAGGAAATTGACCCAACATCCTCAATGCTGTCCCATTGTGCCCAAATTAGTTCTGTGATAAGACCAACATTCAAAGGTAGGACCTCTCAGGACAAAACAGGGAAGTCAGGGGGTGTGATCTCCATCGTCATGGCGACTGATATGACTCATGGGGGGGGGGGGGGACACAGAACCAAGAGCCAGCTTTGTGAGGAGCCCCACCACCATACTCCAGCCTGTATGACTTGCAGGCAAAAATGCAGATCCCTTCCTGTTGGGAATATGGAGATTGTCACTGCAGTGAGACTGTTCCAGATGGAAACCTGAACCACTGAGCATCAGTATCAGTCGGCTCTCCATTCCCAGCCCCACCTCACCTTGGCACTTACCGTTTATTGTTCTTCACTTTTGTTGTCATTGACAACAGAGATTGTAACATAGATATTTATCTACAAGTGCCTTGTTGCTATCGGCAACTATATTGGAAAGGGCGCTATATAAAAACGACTATGTATAGTAATTAATGACTGCTACTGGGAGCTTAATATAGCCTAAGAATCTGCATTAATCTTAGAAATAAGACCCGTGTACAGTGAAGCAGCTTCAAGGATACCTGTGAAAAGACATTCATTGCAAAATACAAAAGTGCACTGTCTGCGCACTGTCTGCGCACTCTTGTGGTCAATTGGGGGAAATACAGCCTCCAGGTGCCGATTCGGAACCATCCCCTTCAGCTTGGAAACATTTCCGAAGTTCATTCTCGCTTTCCCTGTACATTTATGCGTGTATTAAAGGATTATATTTTTTAACACGTATTTCTTATTGTTTTATTCTAGTGACTCAGTTTAACCATACATGCATACTTATGGGAGTAAATGTTATTCTCTAAAATAAGCACAAAAACTAAAATGTGTTTTATTAGACTATGATATGATGTTACAGTAATAATGTAATTAACAATACCACCAACATGCATACTGACGGAAGACTTAGCTAATGGCTAACATGTTAAATTCACTTTACACTGTTACTACACTTTTTGAGTTGCTTATTTTGCATCCTTCTGACTCACACTAACTTATGTAAGTACATGTTTTAATTTATTTACATTTATACAGGGGCATTGCTAGACATAAAGCTCTACTGAGTTACGGCTCCTGACTCCCATTACCCATATGATTTTTGAAAGTTGATCACGAGATCTTGCTGGGTCACATGCCCCAGGAAAAGGGGTCTAGTGATGCCCATCCATTTATTTCATCTTATATTCATATCTTATTGTTTTAAAAAATATTTTAGTTGCCCTAACCCCGATAGACAGATAGCTAATTACATTTTATATTTTCTGGAGGAAGCTCAGTTTACAGTAGCACTATGCACAAAAAGACATTTAGACATTAATTGACAGCAAAATAAATTAACAGACAACAATAAAGAGTTAAACAAAGACTTTAAGACAAACAAAGAGTTTCTTTGCTTAAGAGTTAAACAAAGAAACAAAAAATATATCATGACCTGTCTGCTCTATCCCCCAGTATGACCAGCAGGGGTCACTCCTGGCCCTTCGGAACCCTCATAACTCTTCTCAGCTGTGTTCTGCTCGTTATCCCCAATAACCACTAATGTGGTAACATCAACACCTGAATCATGTCAGTCCCTCATTTGTCCTGTATATACAAGCCACCCAGGCCTGTGTTTCCCGTTCTGTCATTGTTCTCTGTCATTGCCCCAATTCCCCACCAGGTCCACGCAAGGTTCTGTCCTATTCCATGTATTATACATCGCAGCCTGCTTTGGGGGAATTCCCCATTCACAACTGCCATAAGAACATAAGAAACTTACAAACGAGAGGAGGCCATTCGGCCTGAGGTTCTCTCCATCTACCTTCACCTTTGTAATGTAACAGTATTGCACAGAATTGTGCAGTAATGACTCAAATAAATAGTATTGCATAGTGGGTTGTACAGTAAGCAATGCATTTTCTGTGAGTTTACCTAAGCAGTTCTGCTTCATTCCAACAGTTGGCCACCAACCTCATAGATGGAAGTGATGCAGTGAGAAGATACCAGTATTGAAATGTGAATGGGGAACGACAGAGATGGGTCTGCACAGAAAACTGGGACACAAAGGACCATCCAGGTCCTGGACGGGAAGCTTCTGCTCACCTGGACACGTTCACCTTTAATTGAACCATGTTCTTTGAGCCGGACTGAAGACTAACATTGAATCCCATGTTCATGGCAATGGCAGCCCTTCCTCTTTCTGATGTCCCTCTTGGCTTACAGGCCCAATCTTTGATTGCAGTCTTAGGTGACTGGTGCTGTGCCTGATTTGTCTCCAGCGGTGTCACTCACACATCGGTTAGCAATGATTCTGAGATGGAGGGAATCACAGTTAAACCTTATGGGGGAGGGACAGTAAAGGGAAGGGCTCGTTCCTGATTCAACACAGTGGGGAAAGGCGCTAATGTGGCTGGGATGGGGTCTAGCAGGATCTGCGATTCGGGTCTCTGTCCTGCCCTGGTCCATGTGTCATTTATCCATTCATGTCGCTGGGCAACCCATCTCCTGTTATGTCCCAGGTTTGTTAGTCCCTTGTCTGTGTTCTTGTTCTTTAAGCTCAATGGGCTGAGTGTGTGGTTATGAGGGAGGCCGACCTCCCACCTGTGCTTTTAGACTGGCCAACCTCGACTACTTACAATTTAACGTTTATAAATTTGTTATATACCCCTGTATAAGTTGGTGTTTTTCCTCTTATAGTTCCTTGTGTTTGCTCCTTATCTCTTGCTTGTAGTTATGTTCTGTACCCATGTTTCCAGTCTTTCCTGGTGTTTGCGTCTGTAGTGATTCTTGATTAAGCTCACGGTTTCTTGTTAGTCATAGCCCTTAGTCTTCTGTAGCAACCCCCCATCCCTTGTTGAAGCCCTCATATGTATATATATGTGCCTGCCCTTGCCCCGTTTCCTCAGTTGGTCACTGTGTGTTTGTTGCTGTTTGCCACGGTTCTTCGTGTTGCTCCCTCCCTTAGTTTTGTCATTTACCTACTTTGTTTTTGACTCCCTTCATGGTCTCTCTGTTCTTTTTTCAAGTTCTAAGTCTTATTTTGTGAGCCACAATGTGGATCGTTCGTCCTTCATCATGCCCATCCGTAACACATGTAATATCTGTCTCTTATTTACAGAACTAGCTAATTTACCAGCACATTTTATCTGCTGGTGATGTACCATATTGTGAATCTGAGACAATTCACACTGCCTCCTACTGGCCCATGAAGATATTGCAATATTAGCCTTTTAACATGACAGATTATTTCAAATCAAAGTCCAGAATCATTTTATGACAGGATTTAATCGTCAATTTTACTGTCTTTTATGAAACGGTCCAAGATCTGTGCATCCATCAAGCTCATCCTATTCAGGTAACAGGAGGTCAGGGGCTCAAAGCAGGGAATAACCCAGGGTGAGGTGCCCACCCGCCATAGGACACACTCACACCTACAGGCAACTCCAATTCATGTTTTAGGGACGGGGGGGGGGGTGACACGAGTACCCAGAGGAAAGCCCATGACGACTTGGGGAGAGCATGCAGTCAGGGTGGAGACTTCAGCCCTAGTCCCAGACGTGTGAATGCTAAGCACTGTACCACTGCACTGTCCTGCGTAATTCCATATTTTAAATGTAAGGCTCTCTCTCTCTCTCTCTCTCTCACACACACACACACACATACACACACACAATATTGGCATACAGGTTTTAAATATGTTAAGTGTGATGTACCAGTAAATATCTTTTTGTAATATTTGCTTTTCCAGTGATCAGGTTAGTCTACAATACAGAGCTTTCTAACTGGACCACACTACTGAGGCTCTGGTAACTAGCCAATCACTGTTCCTGCGTGTAAATGCTGTGATCTGCATCTCCATCCGTCCATTTCCTGTATCTGCTTATCCTGCGGGGGTAAGTGGCCTGTGTAAGTGAAATAAATGTTTTTAGTGACGTATTTTCAAACCGAAACTTTACGTAAAGCATCATTACATAACAAAGGGGCAGATTTGATAATACGAAAGGGTGTGATAACACCCTGGGCAAGAAAAATGATTTTATGCGTGACAAAGTGTAGATTTAGATTTAAACCTGGCAGAAATAATTAAGACGGTGTTGGCGCCAAACAATTCGTCTGTGATCGGAAGCCGCGCCTCTTCTTTTAAAATGAACGACTTTATTGTAAAATAAAATTCAGCTCAAATAAATGACGGTGTCCTTATTGGGCGGGATTTCGAGATTCTCAATAGCTCCTTCTTGGGGGGGGCATGGCCCGCGAATGCCCCCCCCTGATACCAACCCTGCATTAAGATCTCAAATAATTATTCCTTTCTCAATTTATAAATAAAAATGTATAAAGCAGTCGGATGGTTCGACAGCATTACCAGCCGTATTTAAAAAAAAAAAGGTTTTACAAAGCCATTAGACTTTTTGATGTGGCTGGATTGCAAGTAAATTAACATTTACATGAATGTGCACGTGGAATTTTGTGTAAATGGTTTTGTGTGTGCCCTACGGCGGGATGGCGCCGCATCCATGGTTATTCCTTGCCTTGTGCCTGTAGTTTCCCGAATAGGCCCTGGATCCACGCACCTCTACACAGGACAAGCCGTTACAGAAGATGGATGGATTGATCGATGGATGGATAAATAATCACCATTCGACAATAATCAATTGTTCTGGACCTAAATTCAAACATGCCCAAGAAAACAATTATTTTACTGCCAATGAAACCCATAAACCCTTATTAACGCCTCTTCGTACAGTAACCTAAATATGTGATAAATCTTTACTCCTGTTTAATATCGCCAGTGTACTTACATTTTTCTGCAGTTGTTACGACATTTATCATACTTGCTTTTGGTAAAAGATGACAAAACAAATAAAGAATTATACTGTTGTTAAAAAAAGAAAAACGAGGCCCGCGTAAAAACGCTGCTTCTTCAGGATGATCAAATATTTGACACCTATTTAATGGCCAGCGTGTTAATGGGCTAGTAGCGCCATTGCGGGCAATCGTTATAATCATTAACAGGTGAGAAGATCTGCGGGACTCCACTGAAACACTCACCCGGACATCGGATTAAGTGTTTAACAAGAGTTTATGCTAATCGTCGGCGCATACAGGAATCACGATGCCTCGATGCAAACGCCCGGTGTGGATTTTAAGCAGTTTAGGTATCATTCATTGAATATAAATGTCAAACCTTGTAATTGCATTAATTCTATTATATTACATTACCTTCTCATATCAAATATAAATGCATCGTCTAAGCGCCGCCCCGGGATCTTAACTTGCCTCGGACGTCTTACCCAGCAGACTATTCCCACTGACAACAGCAGTATTTTCTGGTGCTGTAGGGAACCGCTTGCACCACTAGGTGGTGTGAGTGGCTTTTAAAATCAGGTTATTCCTATTCCCGATCGGAAACATTCCAGTTTCAGTCAATTTAAATGTAATTTAGTATACTTACACGGTAATTATGTAGTAAGCTATTTCTCCAACAGAGGATTACAAATACACCGTGATTACGCGTCTAACTTAATCAGGTTACCTGGTATTGAAAAATAGCAATGCAGAATAATTTAGTGGTATCGCTATTTCTAGCCATAGAAAATAAATCAGTTCGCAGTAACACGCAAATTTTCGGAACAATTAAAGTTTAATTAGACCCAGTTGATATAGGAACGGCAAAAATGGACTTTCAAGGTGGTCTGAACTTAATTACAGAAACGAAGAGGAAATTTGTTCTATGATTAGGCTGCATAATATAACATTTTAAGTTTTGTCTTTGTGGAAAATAATCAGCCTTTCATCTTAATCTTACACCAGTCTTTATCATACAGATGGTACAAAAATGCCGATTAACTGACTTTTAAACATTTCGTAAAAATGTGTTGTTTTTTAAGTCATACCAGTTCCCTAAAACAGGATATTTATGGAGACAATAAACTCTGAATTCATAAATCAAGTCTTAAAGTTCTGCCAGTATATTTGAATTTATCCGAATTGAGACTCAGTGAGTGCGGCTTTACTCGCTTTCGGATTGTACGGCGAAGCGAAAGGCGGCCGCTGATTGGCTGCGGTGCCGCTCCTCGTTACGCCGTCAATCACATCACACGCCGGGCTGCTATTAACAGCTGAGCTCGCTGGACAAGTTTGCGGAGTTTTGTTTCAGGGTCCAGCAAGGTGCCGAGTTGCTTGGTCGTGTTTATCCTGGTGCAGCGAGCTCAAGGCGCTTCACATTGCTCTGCTTTTAAGTTTTACTTTTACCTTTATTAAAAGGGTGATCCAGCCCTTAAAGAACAGCTAAATGTATAACGTGATGGAAAGCGAGATAAAGACGTCGCTACCGCAGCCCAACGCGGGCGGCAAGAACAGCGGGGACAGCGACCAGGACCGGATTAAGCGTCCAATGAATGCTTTCATGGTGTGGTCCCGGGGTCAGCGCAGGAAAATGGCTCAAGAAAATCCCAAAATGCACAATTCGGAGATCAGTAAGCGCTTGGGCGCCGATTGGAAACTCCTGACCGATGCTGAGAAACGACCCTTCATCGATGAGGCCAAGCGCCTACGGGCCATGCATATGAAGGAGCACCCGGATTATAAATACCGACCCCGCAGGAAGACCAAGACCCTTCTTAAGAAGGACAAGTACTCCCTGTCCGGTGGACTCCTAGCGCCAGGTGCCAGCGCCGTGAACAGCGCCGTCTCCATGGGACAGCGGATGGACAGTTATGCTCACATGAACGGCTGGACCAACAGTGCCTACACCCTTATGCAGGACCAGCTTGGCTATTCCCAGCCGCACAGCATGAACAGTCCGCACCTCCAGCAGATGCACCGGTACGAAATGGCTGGCCTCCAGTACCCCATGATGTCCTCCACCCAGACATACATGAACGCCGCGTCCACGTACAGCATGACCCCCGCGTACGCGCAACAGACCTCCAGCGCCATGGGTTTGGGATCCATGCCCTCTGTGTGCAAGACCGAGCCTAGCTCACCTCCACCCGCAATAACCTCGCACTCGCAGCGGGCTTGCCTGGGGGACCTGCGGGACATGATCAGCATGTATCTCCCTCCGGGTGGGGAGGGAGCGGAGCACCCGGCTTTGCAGAGCAGCAGGTTGCACGCTGTCCACCAGCATTACCAGAGCTCAGCTGCCGGCGTTACGGCGACGCTCCCACTCACCCACATCTAAAGACTCCGCACCTCCAGTACCTGAACTCTTAAACTCTGAACTGCTTTGGAGATGGTTTTTAATCCCGTTGAGTGTTTTAATGGTGTTCATCCGTGCTACCCATGGACTTTGAAATCCAGCGGTACCTCCCTGGGGGAAGCCGGACTTGTCTGTCAAAATTAATTGTAATGCTGTTACGGGAAGGATGGTGTCTCTCGGGGGCATTTTGCTTTCGGTAGTTTTGTGATGAGGGAGTTTACCACTGTTCACGCATGTTTGTCTCGGCAGTACTCCACCTGGGTGTACACTACTGTGTACTGTCTGTTTTTATGAACTAGTTTTTTAAACGAAAGCGCCACGAGAGTCGTTTAATTTATAGTATTTTTTTAAACTTTTTTAAATTTCGCCATGTTCCTGTATACCTTGTCTGTGATATTTTTTTACGCGCTTATCACAGGCTTGGAGACATTGCGGCTCCGATTTCTTCATGTTTGAAGACATTTCTGAAATGAATAAATTTGTACAAAATCATGTCCTGCTTTCTCCTTGCGGCCTATGTGATAATGGTTTCAGTGTCCGCGATGACCCGGGTTTATTTCTGCAAATCGGCGGTGTATAATATCACTGCGGTGGAGGTCTCTTCCCCTTTCATTTGTCACATAACAAAAGTTGAGCGGATGTGCTTCGTTTTCATCCCCTAACTCCGTGGTTACTAACATATGTGATGTAATTAGAAACATTACATTGTTTAATTTAAATATACGACGCTGCTGGGATATAAGTCTGGATCGATCGGTCTAAGACCGTGTAATTTAAGGTATTATCGAATCATATAAAACAACATACAGGTGCAGACTTCCCCGTATCTTAAGGGCAGGTGAAGATTTTGTTATTTCTTTGGTAGCCCAATACATACGCTGTGCCGCCTGTAGGTTTGGGCTTAGGGGTTTTAGATAAGCTCATTCACGGATTGTGGAGACCGAGTCTCTAAGTTTATGTTCCTGAAATCACGCCTGCTTCATTAAATCTATTTTCGGATTTCTTTTTGAAAGTATTAATGGCGCGCATTAATGATTTGCTAAGTTTTGTTTGTAAAGTAATGTTTAATAGAAGGAAGCCGAAGTTTATTAGCCTATGTTCTTGGTTTAAAAAAAATGGGGGTTGGGTCCAAAGATCCAGGCTTATTTGTAGACATGAGCTTTCCGCGTGTCTGGAAAAACCCCTCAGACGTTGCGAATGTGGGCTCCGTGAGAGACCGTGCAGAACATGCTGATATCCTGCGTGTCCCTTTTTCAAACAGTTGAGCGCCTCTTTTCAGCTTGCTGGGAGTGACTTTTATGGGGGGGGGGGTTCAATTCCGTGCCATCTGTCAGCGCTGTTCGCAGTTCTGATACATCATACGCTCTGTGTCCAGCCTAACAGATAACCTTCCTGTTGACATTTTGTTCTCTTAGTTCATGGGGTGTCTGAGGTCAGGAAATGAGTGGGGTACCATGCACCATCCATCAAGATGACAAAACCCATCCATTTTGCACAACTTCACGCTCATACACGATGGGCAATTTAGAAAGACCTGCTCACTTAACCACATGTTCTTGGACCGTGGGAGGAAACTGGAGAAATCGGAGGAAAGCCACAGCAAACACAGGGGGAACATGCAACTTCCACATGGGAATCAACCTCACAACCGTGGGGCTGTGAGACACTGAGTGACAATACAGCTGTTTTCTGCCAGACTTTATCTATAGCTAAATAAAACGTACTGTGATGCAGACAGACATGTCACCAAAATAAGATAGAATCTGATCTTATTCCACTTGTGGGTTTTAGACGGGGAAACATCAATAATAATGATATTCCTCACCTGCTTCGAAGTGAAATTTAAGCTGCAGTTTTATTTTATTGCAACTTGAATTCTCAACAAATTGAGTGTTTTTCCCCAAATGCCTATCTTTTGAGCCCCCCCTCCCCCCATTCAACCTAAAAAGAAAAAGACCAAGAACATTTCATTGAATGTGTGTAACCCCTTAATGATAAGCATTCAAGCATTTTAATTTGGTCAAGAAGGACTAATTGGCCTCCTAAATTGAAGTGGATAGTGGATACTGATGCTATGAAGGCTGACTTCATTCAAATAATAACGCATTGAGGCGCATTTAAAGCTAGGAAATCGCAACTCTGATGATTCCGGAACTGTGTGGCATAAAGATTTTTGGTTTGATGGAACCCAGAGGAATTTCTTTGCTATTAATACAATAATTATATGTGTTAGAAACAAAAATGGTGTGTGAGACTAAATAATGGCTCCATCCTGTAGGACAAGGTGGGGGTGGTGTCCATTACG